CCCTAGATCCGGCCGCCGGATCCATAGTTCCTCGACATCAAACCTGTCACGGGACCTCAACATTAGTTTAGAACAGGTGAGAGAGAGAGCTATTCCCTTGTGGGTTGTGAGGCCCCATTTTAGGGAGGAGGCTAGGGAAATGGGAGAATATACCTTCTTCCCCTTGGGAAGATGGGAGAATAAACCTTCTCCCCTCAGGGGAGATGGGAAAATAGACCTTTTTCCCCTAGAGAAGAAGGCTGGGGAGATGGGAGATTAGACCTTCTCCCCTCAACAGCCATGTCATAAAAAGTGGCTAATTAGGAGTTTTCTTAAATCTGATCTGTTGAGCCAAAAGGGATAGATATTGCAGCCTAGCTGTAAACCACAACACATTGTGCTATTTCAAGGTCAAACAGAAGAAGTGAGAGAGCTCTGGGAGAGCAAGTTTCTAGCTAATAATATTGTGCAATAATGGTTAACAAGAGGTGAGGAAAGGATGCTGGTGTTGAATAGGGCATACAATGATAAAACATGATAATAAACAGAATATCCTTGCATTGAAATCCACTGAGTTTAATGACAAAATACAGACCCCAAAAAAACCTAGATTGTAGTGGGACATTTTTGCGATAGATAGGTTATTGGAAAAGGAAGGTTGGGGAGGGAGTAATGGTGATATGTAGATTGTAAGATGACTGGTGATAAATTGATTGTAGGAAAATAAAATAGTGATAAAGATATAGGAGAGAGATGGTTGAAAGAAACAGCAGCTGACTGTAGGTGATAAAATGATGGACAAGTTAAGTTAATATGCGCTTGCTGTTAATGATTGCTTGAGAAAATAAAAGATTGTTTTGTTGGCTACAGTATACCACTCTTGTCTTTGAGAGTAATATCTGGTGAGGCTTCAGTCTCTTGCAAGTGCAGTTTTCATACCATTGTCCAAAAACCGTGGAAAAGGTTTGGTGTTTTTTAAACCGATCACGTGGGGTGGGGGAGGGGCCTAGTACTTAAGGATTATAATAATTGTTTTTTAAAGGTTAAAGTTGAATGGATCGACTTCACTGCATCAAGTTTATCCCATTCGGCTCGGTCTCTCTCCGCAAAACAGCTAGCTGCCTGCCGAGAGCATCCACAAAGCACGAACTCTGTAGCTCTGACAACTGTCCCCGGACATTTGCATAAATATTACACTCGTGAACTGAAGGGCATAGCCGTGAAATGAACCTATGACCTTCAGAGCAGAGAGTTGTTTTAAAGAAAGATGATTGCAGTGTTATGGCAGGGCCAGTACTTAGAGACAGTACACAAACATATGTGACTGGAGAAAAAGTCAAGGAATTTATCAATAGAGATTCAGAGTTAGAAATAAGTCAGATTCCTTTATGAAATAACTTGTGTTTACTCTATACACTTGTAAGAGCATTTCCACAAAACTTATTGTCTGCAGATCAAATCTTCAGTCCTGTCAGAGGTCAAGCATGAAATTCAAGAGAACACAAAAAGACTGGAACAGGATCTGCAGGTTAGTCCCACAAGAGGAGTTTCTGAGCTTAGAATGCTATATACGGTAGTCTTTTTAGAGCTGAATGTTAGCTACATATATGGTTCGGGGGGGGGGGGGGGGGGGTGAAAGTATAGTAAGGGGGTGAGGGGAATGAAGGTAAGCTCTGGGGATGAAGGTATGTTCTGGGGATGAAGGTATGTTAAAGGGGGTGGGGGAATGAAGGTATGTAAGGGGGGGGAGGTATGTTGAGGAGGTGGGGAAATCAAGGTGTGTTGAGGGTGTATGGGGAATCAAGGTATGTTGAGGGGGTGGGGAAATCAAGGTACAGTGAGGGAGGGATGAAGGTGCCTAAGCCAGGAGGTGCTAGCGCCTCTTGCTATGTACAAACTAGTGCTTAGACCTGATGGATTTCTCTTTTACACACAAATGTGTCACTGAATCATCATCTTTGCAGTCACCAGCTGTAAACTGGTGGAAAGTTCTGGTTATTCATCCACGTCTGGACTGCAGTCCTGCTCCAGAACCTGAGTGTTGCATGGGCACCTGTTTGACAGATCTGACACATTTGTGTGCAGACTGTTGGTTCCCTGCCTCTCAGGCAGATGCACTCCGACTTCGAAGGAAGCTCCCAATTATTTTATTGTGTAACCTGATGTGCTTCTTTATGCTACTTGTCATCTACAGCTGTGTCACTGCATGATTGTTGTTACATCATCATCGTCATCATCATGTGATCTGCCAGTTGGCATAGACACTCTTGCATCCCCACAGATCATGATCCCTGGAACAGCTCTCTTGATGTTATCTCTCCATGCCATCGTTTCAGCCCATCCAGCATCATCTCTCTTGGTCTGCCTCTATCTCTCTTTCCACAGATCTTTCAGTTGTCACGATGTTTTGCAATGCCTCTCTTCTCATTACGTGGCCAAAGAGCAGTGTTGGTCTCTTTCTTATTGTTGTATATGGAGATCTATTTTCATTAGCTTTTTTTCAAACAATCATTAGTTACTCTAATTGTCTAAGGGATTTGTAACATTCGTCTCAGAAACTACATCTCTATTGCTTCCAAATTCTTCTTAATTTGTTCACTGACATTACATGTTTCACTCCCATACAGCCGTTGTTACATACTGCCATGTTACTGTATATTTGTTACATACTGCTGTGCTACTATATGATTGTAACGAACAGCTGTGTTACTGTATCATTGTAACATACTACCATGTTACTGTATAATTGTTTTGTAAGCTGTGTTACTGTATGACAGTTGTTATTACAGCTGTGTTACTGTAAGGTGGTTACATACAGCTTTAATGGCATCCGTCAGTCCCGGGGGACTATGGAGATGTGCCGCTGGCTTTGGGAACAGCATCTGCTGTGACTGTAAAGTCCGATGCGGGAATGGCAGCCTTTGCCACACAGGATACATACAAAAGCAGATACTCCCTCGTTGTGAGGCAGTTTTACTCTCCAGTGCCTCCTCTCCACAGCTCATTGTGTTCGGTTTCTTTCAAAATGTGACAGTCCATCTTTCACTTTCTGTCTCCATAGTAGTCGATCTGCAGCTGATTTTTCCCATGTCTCTGTGCCTATGTTGGTATCTATTAGGTCACGTTTGCATACATCTTTATAGCGCACCTTTGGCCTTCCTGTAGGTCTATTCCCAGTTACCAATTCACCATATAGGAGATCTTTTGGAATACGACCATCCTCCATGCGGGAGACATGTCCCAGCCAGCGCAGACGTCTTTGCTTCAGTATACAATACATTGATGGTATTTTTGCTCTTGTGAGCACACATTCGTTGGAGACAAGGTCTCGCCATAATATACCAAGGATGCGTCTCAGACAGCGCATATGGAAGGTATTCAGTCTTTTTTCCTGTGGAGCATAGAGAGTCCAGGATTCGCAACCGTACAGTAATGTGCTCAGGACACAAGACAGATACATACAGCTACAGTATAACTATTGTTATAATTATATCACATCCAGTTTGAGAATGGAGGTGGAGGCAGTCACTGCTGCCTTCCACTGGCTTGAGAATCAGTTGTACACACATGCCGTGATTGTAACTGACTCACAGAGCATGTTGAGAAAGGTTAAAACAGGCATGCTTTGTCCAGAGTGGTAAGCATCACTTCACAGGTCCCAGATAGTTAGCATCCTTTGGATATTTCATCCAGGTTATGCTGGTGTGTTGGGAAATGAGCAGGCAGATAGACTGGCTGGCTTCGCACCACTTGGTGGTGAATTGATGTATGACAAGTTAGATATTGTGAGGGTCCTTTGGGAGCGGGTGAACAGTGTGGAAGCGCAGATAGATCATTACGGTCTGAGAAGAATGGCGCTGCGAGGGGGTTACCAGGGGATCTTGCCGACGCTCAACACTCAGGGAAAGGATGAGACGAATATACAATCAGACGGTTACTTTTACCGTCGGAATTGGAACTTTGCTTGCTGCTGAAGATGGTGACTGAGCACTTATGGGAGTGTCATGAGTGCTGTGATGTTGATTCTTAATTCAACATTCAACTATAATTATAATATGTAGTTCCTCAGGGTTGTAATACTTAAGGCAGGTATTCATATTTCACACTAAGATTGTTTCACACCGTACTTTACATGTCTTTAACTTTGTAATAATTAGAGCTGTACCGAATATTTGCAAGTGATTCAACACGCTGAGAGAAGAAATACAATCTATACAATCTATACAATACAATCTGAAAATAAAGTAGTATACTATGCCCTTCAACATCTGCTAAAGTCACAGTCTGGCAACACCAAGATCAAAATATATAAAACTTTGATAAGACCAGTCGTTTTATATGGCTCTGAAACTTGAAGCACAATTAAAAGAGATGAGGCCTTATTACAAGTTTTCAAAAACAGTCTTACGACAAATCTTTGGACCCATCAAAGATGCAAACAGCAGGGAATGGAGAGTGAGAAGCAACAATGAAATTCATAATCTGTTTAAATCACCATTGATCACTGGCATCATGAGAGCTAATAGACTGAAATGATTGGGGCAAATTGAAAGAATGACAAATGACAAAGAAGTAAAAACTGTATGCACTGGAGAGAGGAATGGTTGTAGACCAAGAGGCAGACCAAAAAGACGTTGAAGAGATAATGTCCAGAGAGACCTGCAAACAACTGGTGTCACCAATTGGGAAGAGAAGGCCAACCAGAGAGATGAATGGAGACGAGTGATATCTGCAGCAATAAACCTCAAGGGCTCAGAATGCTGAAGAAGACTATAATGTACATTATGTGAAGTAAAAGTTCAGCGTACTTTTGACATTATGAATGTTTTTTTTTTATAGATATATTTTATACACTATACACTATTCATATTCGGCTGAATAGTGGATCCCGTTATTCGTATTCAGCCGAATAGTTAAAAATCACCTATTCGGTACAGCTCTAGTAATAATGCAGACTTGCCTCCCTGCCTGACACCCCAGATTGAAGTGAATTAAATGCAGTATTTATGATCATTTGCTAGGAGAAAGATCGGGAAATCAAGCAACTTCAAGAACAGCTGGTGTCTAGATCTCGACAGACACCAGATCCCCAGCCCCGGAAGTGGACTCCAAGATCTTCAGTCTCCAGGTCATGTAGGGTGTCCAGCAGGTCTAGTGTTGGGGGAAAATCATCACAAGAAACAGATGTATGACTTCAGTCAATTGACTGCTGAAATGTGTTGAGCTGTAATCTGGTTTTCTGGACTGATGTTGTTGTCTAGATTTGTATAACTGATAGATGCTTTCCTCTGTCTGAGCCGTCATTGTTTGTCACACAACTACACAGACAATGCCACTAAACAGATTGTCATGTCTGTATAGATGTGTGACAGATTGTCATGTCTGTGAAGATGTATGATAAATTGTCATGTCTATGTAGAAAAATGATAGTCATATCTGTGTAGATGTATGATAGATTCTCATGTCTGTGTAGATGTATGATAAATTGTCATGTCTGTGTAGATGTATGATAAATTGTCATGTCTGAGTAGATGTATGATAGATTGTCATGTCTGTGTAGTTGTGTGACAGATTGTCATGTCTGTTTAGATGTATGATAGATTGTCATGTCTGTGTAGATGTATGATAGATTGTCATGTCTGTGTAGATGTATGATAAATTGTCATGTCTGTGTAGATGTATGATAGATTGTCATGTCTGTGTAGATGTATGATAAATTGTCATGTCTGTGTAGATGTATGATAAATTGTCATGTTTGTGTAGATGTATGATAGATTGTCATGTCTGTGTAGATGTATGATAAATTGTCATGTCTGTGTAGATGTATGATAGATTGTCATGTCTGTGTAGATGTATGATAGATTGTCATGTCTGTTTAGATGTATGATAAATTGTCATGTCTGTGTAGATGTATAATAAATTGTCATGTCTGTGTAGATGTATGATAAATTGTCATGTCTGTGTAGATGTATGATAGATTGTCATGTCTGTGTAGATGTATGATAAATTGTCATGTCTGTGTAGATGTATGATAGATTGTCATGTCTGTGTAGATGTATGATAGATTGTCATGTCTGTTTAGATGTATGATAAATTGTCATGTCTGTGTAGATGTATAATAAATTGTCATGTCTATGTAGAAATATGATAGTCATGTCTGTGTAGATGTATGATAAATTGTCATGTCTGTGTAGATGTAATGATAAATTGTCATGTCTGTGTAGATGTAATGATAAATTGTCATTTCTGCCTAGATCTGATAGACTGTTGAGTCTGAATCTGTGATTGTTTCCCTTTTTCGTGTGTAACTGTGATAATTTTTTTCTTTTAGGAATTGAACTTTGATAGATATTTTCTCTATCTGTAAGTGTGATAGATTTATTTATTTCTTCAAAGTCATAATGGACAGATTTATTTCCTTCTTTATAGCAGTGATGGATAACTTCATGCCCGGCTAGCCAACATCATTTTCCACTATGTATGTTCTGATATTTTCGCTTGCCAGTGTAACTGTCATAGTTCTCCTATCTTTTTAACCATTCAGCTTCCCCTTGCCTGTACAGCTGTAAGTTTGCTAGTCTCTTGCGCTAAGAGTTACTATCCTTTTCACTATAGAGCTAAGTCTCCGGCACACTGACGATTATAAACCATTAGGAAGTCTCACTTGTTCTCTTCTTTTATCCTCCCCATGATTTTCAATTCATTAACAGGTTGCCTGTATTTAGGCACTGTGTGAATGTACAATCCCTGATGTCATATTTGCTTAATGGCCCTGTTACATGTTTTAAATTTACTGACTGTTTATAATTTCTTCTAACAATTGTAGATACTCTCCCCACATCCCAGATTCCATAACACAGACACCCTGACACACACAAAATCCCTTTCTAACACAGAAACACTTCTTCCTATCTGAGAAAACAAACCCTGACAGCAGATAAACCCTGTTGCTTAGCTGATAGCACAGAAACCCTTCTCCCCAAATACAGATACCAACACCCCCCCCCCCCCCCAATCACACCACATCACACAACTAGTACCCACAACACAGAAATGTCCCAACTGACAACAAGACACATGCTTCCCCCACCCTCCCAATACAAACATGACAGCTACAAGCATAAATATTTCTCCACAACTGATCTGATAGCCCAGTCTTCCTGTATTTATGTAGTGTTTCCCATTCAGTGGACTGCTGAACACACTTGAGGTGAGGGGTCCATGCGAATCCTGTTTGTGATTCTAATATTTATAAATTGTAATAAGCATTTCAGTGTGACGATTAAAAGTCATAAGGTTCGAGATAGACCAAAAAATAAGAAGGGTCTGCAGATCCTAGCTACTTGGGAACCCCTGGTGTATCTGATGCAGCTTGTGGCCCTCCCAGCTGAATCTCCTAACAACAAGGCTCTCCACACACCAGACGACTGTCACATTTTGCTGTAATTATTTTATACCTGTGTTTGTGTTTCTGGAAAAGGTACATGTTTTTTTTGGAGATCACAAGGTGGTGAGAAGCATGATCGCCCATGCCAGTCAGCAAGGCACATAATAGTGATTAGACAAGGTATCCCAAAAGTTTACTTACATAGGAATTTTAAAAAGTCACTAGTGCCATTACAAGCATAACTTTGGTTGTGCCTTTATGTGTTTTTCAGCACTAGAGGACACACATCTAAATTTGTTTTCAAAACTATGGTAGTCATATAGAGCATATTATACAAATAAAAATGGCTTTCATGCAAACAGTTTTTATTTTCCCTATGGTTAGAAACTCTTGGGACACCCCCTGTTTATAGACCATCTATTAGAGTAAAAAGTAAAGGACCTTTTTCCTGCTGGTGATGCATCGGGCATGTGGTGGTAGAGCCACTTTTTTCCCCATATGACTGATGTGCCCATCATCACACTGGCTGCCTTGACTTCTCACATCTCATTTTAGCCTGGGTAGCCAAGGTCTATTATTGAGGGGGGAAAATCTTCTTTGACCGTGTTTAAACCTAATATCTTTGAGACGGGGGGGGGGGGGGGGGGGCAAGTGTGAAGACCATCTGTTCCTCAAATGATCCATTGTGCTCTCTTATGCTCTTCCAAGCACTGACTGTGCAGCAAAACTTATTTGTTAATGTGCCTTGATCACATTGTTATTATTATTAGTGCCTTATATTTATATATAAAAACTGTATTCCCCCCCCCCCCTCCCCCACCCATATAAGATGCACAGATTTTTAAAAATATCTAGAGGGTCTAAAAACATTGTGCCTCTTACAGAGTGGTTGTCGAGTACTTTATGTAATCATATTATTGTTAAGTTTCCAGTCCCAAAATCAAGGCGTCTTTTATATATAGAATCATCTTTTACCTGGGGAATTACGGTATCTGCTGTGTAGTGACAGGGATGCACCAGGGTGTTTTTATGTTGAATCCAACAGGAAGTAGGACTTAACTGATATTTGTGTTCACTGGATTGGAGGTTATTGAATGTATTTCTCCCCTTGTGGGTTCCGGGGCCCCCTATTGTGGAGAGAACAAGAACAGACCCACTGCCTTCCAAGCAAGCATGACGTAGAAGCTAATCAACTAGGGACTTCCTTCTAAGTAGGAGTGCATCTGTCCGAGTGGCGAGGAACAACCAACAGCTGCACACAAATAAGCCAGGAGAAATGTGGTCTAGACAAATACTGGTCTCGTAGTTTTAGACCAGTGGTACGAGAGTCGCACCATGGGAGAGACTGGGGTCTCACCATTTAATATTTTCAGAGATAGTAACGGCTGTGGATATGCACTGCAGCCAAACTTCCATTATGAAAACAGTTGAGACTTTTATTTTTGGATTTTATTAGGTCCCACACCTTGAGGTTTTCTGGACATATAGTGGTAGCTTAATACTTTTTTTCTTCTAGATAATTGATAGTTGATGGGTTCACTATAAAGATTAATGTAAACAACAGATGAAATGGTTTGGCCATCTGATGAGAATATACCCTGGTGCCAAAGAGCGCCCTGCTGAAGAAACAAAGCAAGAGGGGCACCACCCAAATAATGGAGCAACAGCCTTAAATGAATAAAGATCAACTTACCGTGCATTATGAAGAACACTCAAGTTAATTAACCACCCACAATGAGGTAATTGGAAAAAGAGAAGAACTAATGTAAATGAACCAGTCTTGACTGTCATTGTATGGGAATCTCCATTATGCAGGGGTTAAGCCCTTTGAGGGGGGGGGGGAGTGGTGTCCTCATGTTTGAAAGGTTTAGGGTTTGATTTTAGACTCCATTCATGTGAAAGTGTTGTGTTTTGTCACTGATTTGAACCCAAGACCTTCAGAAAAGATAATAATGTATACAATCCTAGCCAGCTGGAGGTTTGCTATCTATATTTGAGTCTGCTATTATTTGGCAGAATATAGATACACTAAAACCTCCTTAACAACAAATTCCAAAGGATTGAACAGTCGAGAGTTTATAGTAAAACAAATTTAGGCTAACCGGGGATTAATAACAGTAATGTGTTCCTGCTGGGACCCTAAATTTTGTTCATGTTAACCAAGTGTTCATCCTAAGTGAGTTCTTGTTAACAAGGTTTTGGTTTTTACTCACTGAATCTCTGCTGTGCATCCCTATTATGTTAGAATTGTTCTTGTTATGTGCCTGCCATGTATTGAAATCAAAATGTTTGACAGATCTCTTCCAACATGCCACAGCTGTGTGTTCTGTGCCTGCTGTTGATTTGTATTATTGCTGGATCATGCCTATGTATTCTACATCAGTAGATCATGTTTTCTTGAGTTAGAACTGTGGATATAGCAGCTCTATCTACTGGTCCAAGTGTAAGTGGTGGGTGTGTGGAAGCATAGCAACTTTTACTTAGATGAAAAATGTGTGTGAATGACTGGGTGTGTGGAAGCATAGCAACTTTAACTTATTGGACCAGATGTTTGAGAGCAAATATCTTTAGGCATTTCTTTTACTGGACAAATGTCTGCGGGCATTTCATTTACTGGACCAAATGTATGAAAGTGAATGTCTGTAGGCATTCGAGTGCTGAACCAAATGTGTACAAGTCCTAAGGTACATTACAATAAATTTGTGAGAATGACTGTGTAGACTTAAAGATCTCTCATATGTTTGTGTGTAAGTGCGTGAGAGCTAAAAGGGTGACAGTAATATCATTGAAGCACATTGGCCGAGTGAATGCCTCCAGTTTTAACATTACTTAAGGGACTACTTTAATGAGAATAAATTTCTGTACGCATTTCAATTACTGGACCAGATGTGTGAGAACGAATGTTTGTAGGCATTTACCAGGTTTGTGTCTTAAGAGCTAATATGGTGGCAGTCACATGACCTAACCAGTGTGTCAGCGTTAATGAATGTCTCCAGGCACATTAATTTTACCCCGGAAGATCACAATGAGAAAACCTGGAACCCGTAACTTCACAGAAATTATGAGTTTAGCATCAGTGTGAAGAAATTCTAATTAGTTGCCATTTAAAAATTACGGGAATCCTAAAGTCAGTTATAAAACTTTAAATAAAATTACTTACAGTATAGAATAAAAATGGAAGTATGTGCGTGTTTGTGTCTGCACACAGGTGTGATTTGCATCGAATCGGCCATTGCAATCAAGCCAAATGTTGGTACCAGATAAAATTCTGGGTTGTAAAGGTGGTTGATTTGATGTTGACCACACCGCCCATTGAGTGCCAGTTGGTCTGTCCGAAGCACAATCTTCTAGTATACTTTCATTATCACAATTTGTGTGGTGTGTGTGTGTGTGTGTGTGAGAGAGAGAGAGAGAGAGAGAGAGAGAGAGAGAGGAGAGAGGGAGAGAGGGGAGAGCGAGAGAGAGTGAGAGAGAGCGAGAGAGCGAGAGAGCGGAGAGAGAGGAGAGAGGCCAGAGAGAGAGAGAGTTCTAGAGATGGATAACAATGGCCAAGATACTGTTCTTACTGACAGGAATCCTTTGTACATCATTTTTACACACATGCAAATTACATGCTGGTCCAAAACCGGTTAGAATGCTTCTCTGCAACTGGATAATTTAAAACAAAAATACTGAAGTCTCATTTATGGGTAACTGGGCACTGACTGGTTTGCAGCTTCTGAGGGTGGGTGAGAGTGGATGAATGTCAGGAGCCATAGCTACATTAATTACCGGACCACATGTATGGGGACTTTTAAATTCACTTAGAATTTGTGAAAGAAAATGTGTGTGGGCTTGCTGGATCAGATGTTTTCACTTGAATGTTTGTAGGCTTATATAAATTTTTTACTTCAAGGAACAGATTGTGTGTGAGTGCCGGTGTGCATGACTGGGCCTAATAGGTCACCTGACACAGCAATATTGCCAGGTGCAAAAGAAACTGCTGATCTATGCACAATTTCTACTTTATTCCTGCAGATTTTGTACAATTTTATTTACAATGTTTGTTTTCCCCCCTGGAGACTGCTACATCATAACCACAATAAAGGGTTTTTCCCCCCATTTTGCTGCGTTTATCAGAACATTTATTTGTTTGACAGACCACTTGTGTTTTGCATCCAAACCAGTCAGTTACCTAAATCTGCTGAAGCTCAACAGTTTAAAAAAAAAAAAAAAGGGATTTGTGCTGCCAACAGATTGTCAAAGGAGGCCACAATCTTTCTTTCATGTCACAAATCTCGTGCATAAGAATTGTCTCTTTCTTTTCTTAACTGCTTGCTCACTGCGGGATCGAACCCCGGTAAACATCCATCCATGTGATAAAACAGCACGAAAACTGACACTTATGAGAACTTATAAGTAAGGAAAACACATCAGCCATGTAGTAAATACAAAACAGCTGGCAAAAAGGCATTTTATTTGTGTGTGATATCATTTCAAAATGTCATTTACAAGGCAAGTAATGAAATAGCAGTCACTGTGGAGATTTACACTGCCTAGTCTTTGATGATGCGGTCATGAGTGTGTGTGTGTGTATGTTGTGTGTGGGCACAAACAAATGAACACAAATTTGTTTTTTTAATCTTACAAGTGCAAACAAGGATAGCATATGTCTAAGACACAGGTGCAAATTATTTAAAACATTTCTGTTGTATGAGGTCCTATATAAAAAAAAAAATTTATTTGAATTGTTATTTCCACAATCCTAAGTGGTTCGCCAAGTACCAAACAAGAAAAGAAGGCTACCAACAGCAGAAATACACTACAAAGACTAAGCCCATGTGACTGTCTATGTGATGGTACAGGCTGTCACTACAAGTCCACGAGATATAGGAAATATAGGATATAGGACAAGCCCTTTAGCTGGTCTAGAGAAAGTGACAGCTGATCTTTAACAGTTGATTCAAACTATTGTGTATGCCACTCATCCCACCCACACTGGACTACAGACTGTAACCATTAAGTGGTGCCCCAATACAACTGTTCTGTGTGGCTGAATAGGGTTTCCAGGATTGGTGACTGTTTCTAATCCTTAAAATACTATTATTTTTTAATAATTTTTTTGTGTATGAACTATGAGAATCCCCTCCTGGTGGCTCCATCTTTTTGGCATTGAAACTCCAAAAAGGCTCCGTCTCCAGAGGGTTAACTCTCATTAGACACAACAAAACTGTTAATTCTCATTAGACAGCCCACATTTAATTCTCATTAGCCAACCAACAACTGTCTGTTAACTCTCATTAAACAACCCACAACTGTCTGTTAATTCACATCAGGCATACCATGACAGTCTGATAACTAATCAGACAATCCACAACTGTCTAATTCTCATTAGACAACCCACAACTGTCTGTTAATTCACATAAGGCATACCATGACAGTCTGATAACTAATCAGACAACCCACAACTGTCTGTTAACTCTCATTAGACAACCCACAACTGTCTGTTAATTCACATCAGACACCCCACAAGTCTGATAACTAATTAGACAATCCACAACTGTCTAATTCTCTCATTAGACAATCCACAACTGTCTGTTAACTCTCATCAGACACAACATAACTGTCTGTTTATTCTCATTAGACATATAAAAAAAAAAAAAAAAACACGCTGAACTTTATGTGTTAAAAGATATAAGACAACCAATATCTGCCTGTCAACACATACAGGATATCAAATATGTATAGAACACAGAGTAAATGTCAGAAAAACACACCTCATTGTCTGTTCACCGAAAAAACATTATGACAACTTGCTAGTATACACAAAACACCTTTAGGACTGTCTGTAAATTCACAACACACTATTAGAGTCATCAACACCTATATAATATTACACAAACTTTCACTGTTATATCCCTTTGAGTTTTTTCTCTTACATCTCTTGAAGAGCTAATTAAAAAGAAAAAAATTGCTGTTATTTCCTTTGATAACCACATGCAATCAAGTTGAGGACGGGAGAATGAATCTTTCTTTCACTGTCCCGGGGGCGAAACCAGACAATTCTAGTTCTAAATAAAAGAGAGAATTGTTGGAAGACAGCAGCCACAGAACCAATCAAATTGCACAAAATCAAATATTTATTTAATTTAAAATAATATCTTTGTGCCACTGTTGGTTGGTAAAAACATCAGAAAACATCAAAGAATACACAGGCTAAAACTCTAAAGTAAAAACAACAAAACCTCCCCCCAAAAAAAATTGTATTAAAAAGTGTGATTCCATTAACATACACTGTCATTTAAAATTTCAGTCGAGTGTCACATTACTTAAATGAACACAATGATAATATACAAGTTGAAAGAACACAATCCTGGATGATGAAATGTGGTTCAGCCATCATATCTGTCGTCTGTTAATGAAAACAGTGGCACAGGTATCCACACAAATGTACTATTAACACAATTCTGTCTATTCAAAATCCTCGTCGTCACTGGAGAAGTTATACTTGACCGCAGCCTTGGCCCTGCCTATGGGTGCTCTGGGCTCTAGCGGGGCTGCAATCATGTCATTTTCATCATCTGAGTCAATGTTCTTGGTTACTTTTTTCTGTAACGTAAGAGAGTAGGTTAAAGATATGCACTCCAAAAGTGTCTAGCAAAAGCAATTTTGTTTTAACTTTTAAGAAATAGATGTTATGAATATTACCAAATACAATGAGTTTCTAATGTTAATACCGCCTCATTTTTCAGTTGGATTTTCTATTGCCACACCGCCTTAACGTTTAATACAGTTTCATATAATGCAATTTTCCCCAGCCCTAAACTCTTGCCTAACCTATCTTTCTGGGTCAATTCCTGTCCATCCAGGCCATAATAACCAGTTCCTTCCATCTAGAGAGGGTCCACATTTGCAAGATCTCTTTTTTAACAAGCATGGGCAAATATTTCAACCAGGAGCGGACTGCAGTCTTTGTTTGTTTTAGTATCCAGAAGCCATGAGTTGTAAACCCTTAGGCTCAGTATTATGGATATCGCAACCTTTCGGCCTTGATTCCATTGCAAATAACGTAAATCTTGGAGAAATGTGGCTTTTCTGCCTACCCCCGGGAGTGAACCCAGACCACAAGGAGTTGTCACCCAGTCACAGCGCAATCCGGTTTAGCCAACTTCGCTAGAGAGCCGGGCGACTGCGGTCTTTAAATTGATACGCCATTTATAATAGTTGTTTTATGTAGCTACAACTGTCATTCATTACTGCATTTGATTGGGAAGCTGACTTAATCGACTCTGTTGTTCTGGTGACTTATGTTGTTGTTCATGTTCACAGGCTGTATACTCTGGCGCAAAGTTCTGGTTGCTTGTCAACCTCTGGACTTTAATCATGTATCACAACCTGACTTTTGTGTGCACTTGTGTTTTAACAGATTTGGCTTATTTGCTAGTATGCAGCAGTTTCTTGCTACTCAGGCAGATGCACTCGAGGCAGACTGAAAAATGCCTTCAATTAAATAACATGCTTGTAAGGGAGGCAGTGAGTCTATTATTGTTTCCCCCCATAATGGGGGCCTAGGAACCCACACCAAGATAATGTTCAAATTGAGCATGCAGTTCTAAGGTTACCAAGGATACTATTTACCAAGTTAACAAAAATTATTATAACTGTAATGCTGACACAGACAAACCAATTAAAACATACTTTTCCTTTGGCTGCCTTTTTAGCTGGGATGAAACTGTCTGAATCAGAATCAATAACAATTTCTTTAGCACGTTTTTTGGCTGGAGCCTTCTTGGCTGGTTTGGCTCCGTTATCATCCAATGCTAGAGCTGGTATTTTCTTAACTGCTTTCTTGGGACCTGCACCTTAAGTGGGTGAAAACATGAGTCAGTCAATGCAGAAATGGATCATGGCATTGTTAGCATGGTTAGAGAAAAGGATAATGTAGATATTAGGGGGGGGGGGGGGGGGAGAGAGAGAGGAGGAGGAGAAGAAGAAAGGATAATACTGACAGACCAGAAGAGATGGGTACTACAGATATGCTAGAAGAAAGGATGTGCTAGAAGTAAATGTAGTGCTGATGTGCTAGGAGAAGTAAATGTAGTGCTGGTGTGCTAGGAGAAGTAAATGTAATGCTGATGTGCTTGGAGAAGTAAATGTAATGCTGATGTGCCAGCAGAAGTAAATGTAGTGCTGATGTGCCAGCAGAAGTAAATGTAATGCAGATGTGCTAGAAGTAAATGTAATGCAGATGTGCTAGGAGAAGTAAATGTGCAGATATGCTAGAAGTAAATGTAATACTGATGTGCTAGGAGTAGTAAATGTAATACTGATGTGCTAGGAGAAGTAAATGTAATGCTGATGTTCTAGGAGTAGTAAATGTAATACTGATGTGCTAGGGGAAGTAAATGTAATGCTGATGTGCTTGGAGAAAAGTTGCTCAGTTTAAGCATATGGCGAATCAGGAGGTGGGGGGGCCCTCACTGGTTATTGTACAAATTTGCGTGAGATCAAAAAGATAACGTATCAATATAAGAAACAGAATAATGTACCAATGCCTTCTTCAGTTAACTCTGGTCATGCGCCTAATCAACTATGGGCCATAAACTGAGTTGTCGACTTGAGGTCTCTAGGGTTTCCCCTAAAACCTAGCTGTGTCGGGCCTACAGTGTGTGGCCACATGTTGATTTACAGCTCCAGTGCCTGTGGAAAGGACAGTCTTGCATATTCTGGGGTCTGTTCAGCACCAAGACACTGAGAGATAGCTGTTTGTCTCGTAGCTAATTTATATGAGTGTCTGTTCAGTCTACAGTCTCCAGTACATAAGTGAAGGATGGTGACCTCTGTTCATCTTATTTTATTCCATCGGTCTGTTCTATTCAGAGATTTATGTAATAGGATACTCTACTAATGTAGAAAGGATACTGTGCCAATGTAATAGAAAGAACAATGTACTATGTAAGAGTATTATGCATTATGTAAGAGACAGGATAATGTACAAATCTAAGAAAAGAAAGTCTACAAGCATATCTTCTTTACAATGTTGCAAATAACCCTGATATTTATTAGTTGTGTGGTTTTACTAGGCAACTATATACAGAGCAGTTTGACACTGGTTTTAAAAGACTCATACCTTTGTTGTCACCATCAACACAGCTCGTGCTGTGTTACCACCTACCAAGTCACCTGCAGCTGATTTTGAACCTTATTATGTCAGGGTTGTAAAACTGTTCACTGCGCCAAAGCTATTCATGCCACTTTGACCATAAAGTCAACCAGAATACATCCACCTGTACTGTACCATTATGTAGAATCCCCCGAATGGGTTGCATGGCCCTATTTTAGCAAACTAAGAGTAGAACCAGCACCCCTCTAACTGTATAGCTGTAGGAGGCGACTAATTAAGGGTGCTTCCATCAAAGTCACAGTTCATCTGCTTGACAGGCAAGGAACCAACAGTCTGCATACAAATAAGCGAGATCTGTGATAGGCATGCAAAACTCAAAAATTGATATCACTGCACTCAGAATATTCCCACACATGCTGCATCCCCTTCTTCAGCAGCCAATGAAAAGTCAACATGATAACAGCATCTGAAGCAACCTAAGTCGCCTCTCCCACTGTGCTGAATCTGCATTTCCTCTTCCGAGGCTAAGGCTAGTATTCTCCTTCCCCCCCCCCCCCCCCTCTTCCCCCAATGTGCTTTTCCACATTCAAAAGGTTAATGCACTGAAGTGTGTCCAGAAAGGAAAAAAGATTTCATATGAACGTAGAAATAAACTAGACAAACCTTTTCCCTCAGTTTTTGAGGCCAATGGTTTGCTCGCCGGCTTAGGTTTAAATATGTCATCCTCGTCGTCATCATCAGTAAGTGGGTACAACTCCTTATTGCTAAGTGCTGGGGAATTGAAGAAAAACAGCAATGTTAGCTGCAAGCCTTAAATCCACCATACACCTATTACTGATCATGTTCCTGTAGACTTACCACAAACATGATGACAATAGTGGGAATCTCCAGATCTCCTTTATGACACATTATACAGACACAAGTACAGGCAGTCATACAATTGTGGCTCTTTCTTTCCTACTAAAAACATTAGGACACCAGCAATGTGCTTTTCCAATCTTCTCTTTCATTTGATATTCGGATTCTTCTCATGGGTTCCCGAGCTCCAGTGAGGAGAGGGGGTGTTACAGGACACACTTGCAATTGTAGAGTATCCTCTAGAGATCTGTACATTATCCTTTCTCTTTCACAGGTTCATTATCCTTTCTCTCGTATAGGACATTATCCTTTCTTTCATATGGGACATTATTCTTTCTCTTCATTCATTCATTCAGTAGCATGTCCCTCGCGGAACCTCGCTGCCATAACAACCCTCCAGAAAACCTTCCTATCCTGAGCAAGATGTCCTGCGTCTGATAAACCCATCTGGAGATCATCTGCCACATCCTGCACCCATCTTCTCCTTGGTCTTCCTCTTCCTCTCTTCCCAGGCATATACCCCTCCATTATTGTTCTCTCTAGACTTCCATGACGTTTCAAGTGACCAAAATATTTCAATTTTCTTTGTTTTATTGTCTTTACTAGCCAACCCTCTTCAATATTCAGCTCTTGAAGTATGGATGCATTTGTTCTTTTCTTTACCCAAGATATTCTAGAACCTGTCTGTAACATTTATATTCAAATGCATTTATGCGCTGTTTCGCTTGTTTAGTAAGTGTCCAGGTCTCACAGGCGTATGTTGCAATGGGAAAGATGCATGCTCTTAAAAATCTGACCTTTGTAATTCTATCTGTACAATTCCATAATTTATTCAGTTGTTTTAGTCTTTGAAGAGCAATTGATAGTCGCCGTTTAATTTCTTTCATTGTGTCACCATTGTTGGTAACCAGTGACCCAAGATATTCGAAATTTTCCACCACTTCCAATCTTTCCTCATTAACATATATTTCCTTCTCCATGGCTTCTTTCTCTTACACAGGCTTATTATTCTTTCTCTTATATAGGACATCATCCTTTCTTTTACTTAGGCATATCATCCTTTCTATAACAATGGTAAAACATTGATCATACATTTGTGTCTCTTTATTCCCTATAAATAACACAGACAGACAGACAGAGAGAGAGAGAGAGAGAGAGAGAGAGAGAGAGAGAGAGAGAGAGAGAGAGAGAGAGAGAGAGAGAGAGAGAGAGAGAGAGAGAGAGAGAGAGAGAGAGAGAGAGAGAGAGAGACAGAGAGACAGAGAGACAGAGAGAGAGAGAGAGAGAGAGAGAGAGAGAGAGAGAGAGAGAGAGAGAGAGAGAGAGAGAGAGAGAGAGACGTAAGACCTGGAGAAAACATACAAAGTATGTTAACTACTGACACTCTTGGAGAGTGTGTAAACTCACACGTGTGAGCATGTCTTATTCCAGCAGTGAAATGGATCATGGCATTGTTAGCATGGTTAGATAAAAGGATAATGTAGACATTGGGGGGGGGGGGGGAGAAGAGAGAAGAGAGAGAGAGAGAGAGAGAGAGAGAGAGAGAGAGAGAGAGAGAGAGAGAGAGAGAGAGAGAGAGAGAGAGAGAGAGAGAGAGAGAGAGAGAGAGAGAGAGAGAGAGAGAGAGAGAGAGAGAGAGAGAGAGAGAGAGAGAGAGAGAGAGAGAGAGAGAGAGAGAGAGAGAGAGAGAGAGAGAGAGAGAGAGAGAGAGAGAGAGAGAGAGAGAGAGAGAGAGAGAGAGAGAGAGGAGAAGAAGAAAGGATATAAATACTGACAGACCAGAAGAGATGGGTAATACAGATATGCTAGAAGAAAGGATTGTGTGCGTGCTTTTGTTTCTTTCCTGGACTTCTTTTCACCAGAATTTTTTTTCATTTGACATATCCTGTTATTTTACATATATTCCAAGCATTTCTCTCTTGCATGTATCTTTTTTCTTTAAAACACAAATTCTTTTGCATCTGTAATTGCCTTTTTATGGCCAGTGACAGGTAACTATTGCATTTCTTGCCCTTTATCTGTAACAAATGCATGCAAACAGAATAAGTTGTGTGGAATGTGTAATCAACAGAAGTTGCAAGAAGTCACATACCTGCCCTGGAAGGTTTGTCCTCATCTCCACTGTCTCCTGACAAATCTGACAGATCCAAAACTTTCTTGGTTGCCGGCCTGTGGGAGACATCAAATCATTCAGTTTGTATTACCACTGCTGTGATTCACTTGGTTACATATAACATGCAACTAATCAGGCAAATTACAACAACACTGAGATATTAATATGTATAGGAATAAGGATACCAATCGAGCACTTTAAAACATAATCTTCTCACCCACTCTTTAACAAATGCCCGACCAGAACAATGGCAGTAGTGTGGTGTCCCCCCATAAATGAAGTGACATTTTTAAGAAGAAAGAGTCAGTGAATTGAGAAGATCAGAAAGAGTGAAATCTGAAGTAAAGTGGAAGTAGTAAGAGCCCTAATTTAAATCTATTCGTTATGAACAAATGTATTTCAAGGGAGGGAGAGAATAGACCCATTGCTACCTAACAAGCATGTCCTACAATGTACAGAAGGGACTATTCAGAATCTGGAAACTTCCCATAAACTATACTGCATACCCTGATACTGTACAGCAGCAGTTTACAATTGGATTCAATGGCTTCAACTTTGTAAAAACATCTCCACCACATGTCTATTATCTTAACACAAGTTTCATCTTTATTAAACATAGCAGCGGTGGAAGAACAGCTTGAACCGTGTAAGGGGTGAATTGGCTTGCCGAACCTGTGCAACTTTCCACTGTACACTTATTTCTGCAACCTTATGTTTGTCTTCTCCCTCACACAAGTTTTACCTGAACACATAAACAGCTGATTATCTGACAATACCAATTAATACCCTGACAAACTGGCTAATTCTTCTGCATTTACATTCAGAAGGGGGGGGGGGTGGTGTGCGTGCGTGCGTGTGTTGTGGTTTAACTTTGGCTCAACATCTGATAACAAACCTCTAGTTGCCTTTTATGATATTCTTGTGTTTGTGGAGGGGGGCCGGGGACTTTTCCACCCACTCCAAAAAATTGGAATACAATACACACAGAATACACACAGGGAAAAAAACCTGGCAAGCAAATAACATTTAACAGCACACATATACCTACACACACACCCCTCCCTAATTTATCCATAATCAAAACTAACTGTGCAGCACCACTGCTAATTATTTATCCAAAAACTATATACCAGCTGTTTCTCCCTCAGCATCTGTTCTATCAACTATTCATTTAACAAGTTGAACTGAGTAGAAACAATTGACATCACAGCACTCAGGGCATTCCCATGTGTGCTTCATACTCATCTTCAGCAGCCAGCACAGAGTTCCAATACTGGTGGTACCAGCCACAATCCTGTTTTATGTCCAGTCTTGCCTTTCCTTTGAGTATAGTGAGGTGGCCAGACCCTTTGGTGCTGCCTCACTCTCTCCAGGCCAAAATAATCTTGTTTCTCTAATGACTCCACTACTTTGTACCCAAAGAGCTTTGACCACATTTGCCTTGTCATGTATCAATTCACCACCCAGTGGTGCAGATCCAGCCAATCTGTCTGCCTGTTCATTACCCCCGACGTGGGCATGGTCTGGAGAGAAGATCCATAAAAGATTATCCCACAATAACTAACAATCCAACAATTACTGAGCTAACACTAAAAACCCATTCTTACTTCGCAGTTGTCTTCTTGTTAGCAGCTGCCTTCGCAGGCTTGGGCTCAGGCTTGGGTTTAGGCTTTTCCCTTTCAATGGATAGCTTTGGATTATCCTCACCATCATCATCATAAAGGTCTGCATCTAAATATTCTGCTGCTCCATTCTCGTTCGCCATAACTCCTGTTTCAGGATCATAAGCAACAAAACCTCCAACATCTTCATCGCTTTCCACTTCCTCTTCATTATCAAAGGTGTAACTGACCTTTTTAGCTGCAAAGACAATATAAATTATTAGACGTTAAGGCAGGCTCTATGTTGCCACAACATAATGTTTCAGGCTAAAAATGTTCATTCAAAACCTGCTGCAGTCATAACGTTTAAATCTAGGTCACAAGGTTCAAAGTTGAGGACTACTTTATTGCACAAGTTTGATCTTACAAGGCACGACCTCTCGCAGCAGAAGTGAAAATCTGCCAAAAGTGTAGGATGACACAAACACTAGAACATCAGCGACAATCTCCAGAGAGCATTAAAACATGCCTCTTGTGAACAGTCAGTGCAACGACCTAGCTTTTAAAAAAAGAAACCTATCAAATCATATATCCAGGAGAAATCTACATGAGTGACAATATCCCACCAACAAAACATTGATTATGTGTAGGCGAGACTAGTCAGCTATAAAATGGTGAGTATATGTGGCAAAGAGATCACTATGCCTTGCTGACTGGAGTGTTGATCTTGCTTCCTTGGATCTTGCAAGTCTACTGGCACATTATAATTTCCCTGCTGATAACCTTCTATCTCCTAATAGATGTGGCTTTCAAAACACCTCTAGATATTTTCTCTCTTCCAGTAACTTTTTAGTAACATATGGGTCTGATAAGTCATCTATAAAGTACTTAGTATATGTGGTTGGTTTTTCCTGATGTATGACTGAAATGCTATGTTTTGTGAGGTGTCCAGTAAGAAGATACATGCAAGAGAGAAATGTGTCTGCTGGGAATATATGTAAAATAACAGGATATGCCCAATGAAAAATAAATTCTCGTGAAAAAGATAAGTCCAGGGGGGAAAAAAGCAGCACGCACACACACCACACATATTTCCAAATACATTTCCAGTAAAAAATATGTCCTGTGAGATGATTTATCTTGTGAGAAGGTATGTACGAAGAGAAGACAATGATAAGACAAACCCAGTAAAAAGATATGTCCTGTGAGACAATTTAACTTGTGAGGAGATATTTACGAAGAAAGGACATATCCAGAGAGAAGACATGTTCAGAGATAAGACATACCCAGTAAAAAGATATGTCCTGCGAGAAGATTTATCTTGTGAGATTTATCTGATGAGAAGATTTATCAGGTGATAAGACATACCCAGTAAAAAGATGTCCTGTGAGAAAATTTATCTTATGAGGAGATATGTATGATAAGAAGACACATTCAGTGATAAGACATACCCAGTAAAATAATATGGCCTGTGAGATGATTTATCTGGCGAAGACATGGTCCAGTGAAAAGACATATCCAGTGATAAGACATACCCAGTAAAATAATTGGCCTGTGAGACGATTTATCTGGCGAAGACATGGTTTAGTGGTGAGAAAACATATCCAGCGATAAGACATTCCCAGTAAAAAGATATGTCCTGTCAGACAATTTATCTGGTGAAGACATGGTCCAGTGAGAAGACATATAAAGACATATCCAGTGATAAACACACCCAGTAAAAAGATATGTCCTGTCAGACAATTTATCTGGTGAAGACAGTCCAGTGAGAAGACTGATAGAGCCAACAGATTTATCCAGTGAGAAGACTACACAATGACAAGATTTGATTTTTCTTTGATAACAGTGTGCATCTGCTTTGGATAACGAGAAACCAACAGTCTGCATACAAATAAGCCAGATTTATAAAACAGATGTGCATGCAAAACTCAGGTTCTGGAACAGGACCAAAGTACAGAGCCGGACGAACATCCAAAACTTTCCATCAGAGTTTACAGCTGTTGAACACGACGAAGAAGAAGAAGAAGAAGAAGAAGAAATATCAAGAAAGATGTCTCATGAGATAGCCGATAACTTTACAGAGGCATGCTTGGCAGAAGTGACAAATGTGACAGCACTCACCTGCTGCCCTGCGAGCTGTGTCTCTAGGTATGACAACATCTGACCCAAACCCTGTAGTATCATCCAAGTCGCTGACGTTTGATATGTCTGATTCCTCACTGTCAGACCATGGGTTCTTCTTTTTCTGTTTTCTGGATTTTGCTGGTGACCGGTTTTTTTCTCACGAGCTGCAGCCGGTTTTTTCTCCCGCGGTGCAGCAGCTTTTTTCTCTCGGGGCGCAGCAGGTTTTTTCTCGCGGGCTGCAAGAGAAAACAATAGTTAGTTTTTGATCAAGTTCACAATGCATATTTTAGTGCCTATGTGTGCCAGCATGTTAACTCTTTATACAAGTGTAGCAAGTGTATTAAAGTAAAATGATTTCATAATTTGTAAATATGCTAGGGCATATGTGCAGTTCATCAAAACCAGGTATGTACGTGTGTATGGTGCAGCAGTCGTGAGCTAAAGTGTGCTTGACATGTCCCGGAACATGGGCTCTTTACAAGGAGCCTAAGTTGCTTCCCTCCCCATACTCCCAACTTACATAAACGTGTCTGTTTTGTCATCATCATCATCATATGCCATGTCCGTAAGAGTAGGTTGTCATGTTTCACTATCTCACACGATCACCAGAATCACAGATCAGTTCAATGTTTTCGTCTTGCCCATCTATGTGACCATGTCATTCACATGTGTCTCTTTGCCCTCCTCTTGCTCTCTATCCATCCCTCATGCCAATGTTACAAAGTTCGAGTCCAATCCTCAAAACATGCCCAAAGCACATTCACTGTCTACGTCTAATTATTCTAATAAGTTTGTGATTTTGTCCGTCTTGACGAGAGGACTGATTCGTTTGTTTTTCTATCCTTCAATATTCTTTGCATATTTCTCAGAAACCACATCTCTGTTTTTCAGCTTATATGCTTATTGTCCATTTTTTCATAACATGCATGCAACAAACACAGGTTCTGCATACAACTCTAACACTATTATTTTCACTGCAGCTGACATTTTCTTATTAGAGAGAATCTTGCTAAAGGCCACTTGCCATAGCGTTTCTTGTTCTAATTTCTCCAAGGCATCTCTTGCTAGACGCTCGCCTGCAGATTGGAAGGTTGTGGGTTCGCTCCATAGTGGAGCCAGACTTTAAAAAAAAAAATGGCCTTAAATTCTAGGTTGACCCAGCCTTGAGTGGGTACCAAGTGCAGTTCTGGGAAATAAAGGCGGCCGGAGTGATGCTGACCGCAACACCCATCTTATGCTGAATTTGTCTATAAAATATATGTCTAGCCCTATATGCCTGAAGGTGTGGAAAAGGGTCCTATACTATCTCCTGCATCAGATGTAACAACTGTTCCAAGATAGTTTGTTATCTAAATGACTCCTGCCATCTGTAAGTATTTCACACTTCTGTATTTCTTTCTTCTTTGTGATGACTATTATTTCTATTTTCTTACAATTCCAACAATGTTGACTATTAAACAGAACTATGCTCACCAAAATTAAGAAAATACAAAGAAATGGATCAAGTGTGAGGAGGAGTATTTTGAGGCAATAAATATGCATTCTCTACACCATTACAAATTGTTATTTACAAAATCATTGGCTATATAGGAGATATGTATGGAGTATAAAAATCACCTTCCAATACACTGTTTAAAATGTGTGTATGTATGTATATTATATATATAATATATATATATGGATATATGATATATATATATATATATATATTATGTTATATATATATATATATATATATATATATATATATATATATATATATATATATATAATAAAAACTCCTTGTCATTCATTGATGGCCTCCATGTTTCTTTGGCAAGCCAGATCTAACATCTGCATCTGTCCCCTCCTTAAGACCCTTCTAAAATTATTAATGACATTGTCATTGAAGATATTGGTAGCTCTGGAAACTACAACTTGATTTTGATGCCATGTATACACTCCTTCTATTTCACCCCAATGCTTGAAGAATTCTCTATGTCACTTGTTGGAATTGCTTGATTTAAAAAAAAAACTTTTTTTTTTTTTTTTGGTTGTCTTTGTTCTATGAAAACATTTGCTTTTCTCCTCCTGCCTTATTTTTTTTCTGTTTGGTTTTTAACTTTTGTAGCTCTTCACTAATCCAGCTCAGTGTTATGTTCCTCTACCAGCTTGCTTCTCCATGTCTGCTTCGTCAACTTTCAAATGTATGGTCTTGCCATGGGATACAACTATCTACAATGTCAGGATGCAGTACCTCAGACACAGTACATGCAGCAAGCGTCGCACACACTACTGGCTGCATCCTATTTCAGATCAATGTCACATAGTAATAACAACACGTGCACCTGCACAGTGCATCACGGCATGTATCTCGAATCTAGGTACTTATGTTGAGGTCAAACTATGATATTTTTTTTAATTAAATTGTATCTGAAAAAGTTTGGGAACAGCAGTTCGTTCGTCGAGGTACCATGGTACTGTATTCAGTGGGCCTGGTGATCTGATTTATTCTGCATTCTTGTAATGCATTTATTATTATTTCACTTCTTTGTTGTCTTGTCCATTTTCTACGGCCTACCAACTTCTGTTGCTGAATGTATGTTATTGTAGCTTGACTGATAGAGCTCTTCAATATTTGCCATTGGTCATTTCCATCTTGAAACATAATCTCTAAATCTAACAAGGCATCAAATCTATTCTGTATTTCTATATTGAAACTGTCTTTAACATCCTCATTCTTTAATGCACACAGATCTAAATTTCTTCTTCTGAATTCCTCCGAAGATGTACATGGTTATGCACGTTTACACCTTGGCTGTGTTATTTGCACCTTTCGGTCAATACGTCCGACTAGATCTGATTTATTCTTGGTTTCAGTTCAGTCTGCTTTAACTTTCAATGTACTTTGCCTATGTCTAATCTGTAGCATTCTGCTTCTGGTACCAGTTTTTGAAACTTTTAAAGCATTTCAAATCCTTGATTGAAAAGGACATAATTATTTTGATTCCTGGTCTTACTGTAAGGACTGTTCCACATCCACAGATGTTGCTGATACCAGGTTTCTCTGACAATCGTATCATGCTCCTGTGCCCATTGTGCCCGCCTGTCCCTTTTTTGTATTTCGCTCTCCTCATCCTTCACTAACTGTGTAGCCATCCTGTTGGTTTCCAATTTTAGCATTTAAGTCAGCCTATATAATACGAACATCTGAGTTTTTGCACCTTTGACTAGAAAATACATCAATAATTTTTTCTTTAACCTCTTTTAGCTGTTGGAGCATATTTTTGTATATTTACGTCCACAGTTAAGTTGTGAAATCATGACTATTCTGACATCTAAAAGCTAGAAGAAGAAGATAATCATTATACAACAGAAACATCATCACGCTGATCGTGCAATATTAGTGTGTGATTTCACAACAAATGTGTGATCATCCTGACATCTCAAAGCTAAGAGTTCTGATTTCTACTTACGCACTCCAGAAGCTCCACCTCTACCCCTGCCTCTTCCACCTCTACCTCCTCCTCTACCTCGAGCTGAGGTGACAGAAACCCCATCCTCTTCCACTTTGACAGCATCAAAACTACTGCTTCTAGTGTCACCATCTTCCATTTCCTCAGTGTTGATCTCAGTCTTGATTTCCTCTTTGATCTGGACAAGAAAACAGCTGGCAATTAATATAAAGTATTCACCAACTTACGATTGTTTTTAAACCAGTCTCATCACATGACATGTGTTTATATAAACCAGTCATTTAAAAACCTATTTATATAAAACTATTATCAACATGTTTATTTGATTTGATTTAAGAACCGACATCACAGCACTCGTGGCATTCCCATAAGCACCCCTTCCCCATTTTCAGCAGCCAGCGAAGAGTTCTGATACTAATGGTGCCAGTAGCATTCTGATTAAACGTCCCTCTTGCCTTTCCTCTTAGCTTTGAGCATCTGCCAGAACCTCTCGTCACATCCCCGCTGCATCAATCTCATCAATGTGGTGATCCATCTGCTCCTCCGAACTGTACACGCTCTCCCACAAGGCACTAACCACGTCTGCCTTATCATGCATAAGTATTCCACCAAGCTGTGCAGTCAGCCAGTCTGTCCATCTGTTCATTTCCCAACACACCGGCATACCTAGTGAATAAAAATCCAAACAATACTCCTCCCTCGTGTCCTCCACAGCGAGGCATGCCACTCTGCACGAAGCATGCCTGTCCTGATCTTCCTTAGCATGCTTATTATATAGGCTTAATGTCATCTCATTTCCGCGATTTTAAAAAAAAAGTCCTCGCACATCTTTTGATATAAAACTTATGTCACCACGCTTGTTCTGATTTTAAAAAAAAAAAATGCTGTCATCACAACCATTTGTTAACATTTAACTTATTTCATCATACATGTTTATAGAAAACTAATGTTATCATACATTTGTTTATAGAAATGATGACATCATACATTTGTTAAAGAAATGATGACATCATATATGGGTTTATATACAATTAATGTTATCATATATCTTTCTATATATCACTAATACCATCATAGATTTACTTATATAAAATATATATCATATCTATGTAATCATACATCTTTTTACAAAACACTAATGCCATTACATCTTTGTTTATATAAAACTTATATCTTCAAATATTTGTTTTAATAAACTACTAACACCACTTTTTTTGTTAATATAGAGCTAATGACATAAAATAATATATGTTTAATTTTTTTTTTAAACCTGAAATAAGACATCACAAAATATCTATGTTATATTCATAGCATCTTATTTTTTTTTAAACTAATGACATCACAACACATCTTTTTCTATAAAATGAATAACATCATACACAACAGGTTTATATAAACTAATGACATCACATAAAACCTGTTTAATAAAAACCAATCTCATCCCATATCTGTTTACTGAGACACAAATCTTACCCTGTCCTTGAAAGTTTTCCTAGCGGCATCTTTCTCCCCTTTGGCTTTGAGGGCCGAGCTGATCTTTGGCACCACCCTCCTGCCCATGGGTGATGGCATGACATCCACAAGTGGTTTCTTGACTTTCTGTGGCTTCCCAGTCTTGCCCAACTTGACTGGCTTCTCAGCTGTTCCCGTATCCTTTTCCATTCGCTCCACTTCCTGCAAACATGATTTATATAAATATTATATTATATCATACTGTGTCAGCTTGTAACCATATAAACATCATACTGTGTCATACAAACATTATCATAATGTGTTAGCTGGTAACTATACAAACATTATCATACTGTGTCAGCTTGTAACCATACAAACATCACATTGTGTCAGCTCATATCCATACAAACATTATCATATTGTGTCAGCTTGTAACAAAACAAACATTATCATATTGTGACAGCTTGTAATCATACAAAATTTAACATATTGTACCAGCTTGTAACTATACAAACATTATCATTCTGTGACAGCTTGTAACTATACAAACATTATCATTCTGTGACAGCTTGTAACCATACAAAATTTAACGTATTCTATCAGCTTGTAACTATACAAACATTATCATTCTGTGGCAGCTTGTAACCATACAAAATATTGTTTCAACAATCATATTATGTCAGCTTGTAACTATACAAACATTATCATACTGTGGCAGCTTGTAAGCATACAAACATTATATTGAGTCAGCATGTAATTATACAAACAGTATCCTACTGTGACAGCTTGCAACTTGTGTCGTTTGATATGGCTAAAATATTTCAGTTTATTTGTATTTTAAGAATCTATGTCGCATTTCAGCTCAAAAGCTGATTAATGACTGCAAGACCGCCCAAGACTCACATCCATGTTGCTACATAAAAATAAAAAATAAAAATACTTTTGCTTTCAAAACTCGTCTTTGTTTTGCTTGCTGATGGATGCTTACCCAGAGACTTTTAATGTTGTTTACTTCAACCATAAAAACATCATTATCAAAGAGTTGTTACAAGGTGTACTTACATCAAGAACCACTAGTAAGGCTTCCAGGTCATCCCTCCACAAATCTTTCGGGGTTTTCGTTCTCAATAACCTCAGTTCTTCTGCCTGTAAAAACAGTCAGGCAAGTGATATGAGTTTTTTAAAACAACAAATGTCATCCACATCTGTTGATATAAAGCTTTAAAAGAAAAGCTAAGGACATTTAACTATTGTCTTCTCCTTGGTCTCTTTTTATCAGTCTTGCCAATTATTCCCAAGTTCTCAAGCCCCTTTCTTCTAATAACATGACCACCAAAAAAAAAAAACCAATCTATAGCTAATTGTTCTGATAAGTTTACGACTTTCATTCGTCTCGGTAAGGGCTGCTTTGTTTGTTTTTCCATCCCTCCATGATGTTCTTTGCACTCATCTCAAAAACTACATCCCTGCCACAAGTAAACATTTTTTTAATAGCTTGTCCATGTTTTGTCCATGTCTCACATGTATATAATAACACCGATTCTGCTATTTGGCCTTTAACACTTTTGGTGTGTTTTCAATGCAAATGAAATCTTATTGGTGTGAATCGTCTGCTTATGTATCACAGGCGGTGAAGGGCAGAAGAAAAAAAAAAGAACCTCTAGCTTTCACAAATCACTTATTCTTGGTGATGTCACAGACAGGAATACACATTTGTTAACTTCAATTATCTTCAAGACTGAGTCATGCAATATCACAGACTAGGACTACTACAATGCAATCTCGATATCTACAACTACTGCATTGTGAATGTTCTGGGAACAAATAATGTGACCTAATGAAATCATTTAACAAATGTGGCTACAAAAACATCGGTGCCTGAGGCGAATTCAACACATGGTTACAATGACAGAGAGCCATTACCTTTTTTGTTTAACACACACACACACACCCCCCCCCCCCCTCCCTCCTCCCACTTTCAAAATACAGACCCACCTTGAGATCTCTCTGTTTGCAGAGCTCATCTTTCTTCTCTTTGGTCAAGTTCCAAAGTGGCATACCCAGAATGTAATTGAAATCTGGTCCTGATGTGTCCTCTGCTTCCTCTTCCGACTCGACCACATCATCCTGATAAAATGTGAGACAAAAAAATTTTTTTTTATGTTTACTCAACACGAGGAACTGGGAAATAAGACTACATCTAGTTTGAGAATGGAGGCAGAATCGTTCACTGCGCCCTTATGACGGTTTGAAAACCAGATACACACTCATCCTGTGATTGTAACAGACTCACAAAGGATGTTGCGAGCAGTGAAGATAGGCATGCACCATGCAGAGGGGCAAGCTTGACTTCAGATATCCTCAGCTGTTAGCGTCCTGTGAATATTTTCTTCAGAGCAAGTAGACTGGCTAGTAAACTGATGCACCCTATTCCTTCAGGTCTCAACCACAGCAACTTTGCTGACTATTCCTTCAGGTCTCAACCACAGCAACTTTGCTGACTATTCCTTCAGGTCTCAACCACAGCAACTTTGCTGACTATTCCTTCAAGTCTCAACCACAGCAACTTTGCTGACTATTCCTCACCAGGTCTCAACCACAGTCTCAACTTTGCTGACTATTCCTTCAGGTCTCAACCACAGCAACTTTGCTGACTATTCCTTTGTCTCAACCACACAACTTTGCTGACTATTCCTTCAGGTCTCAACCACAGCAACTTTGCTGACTATTCCTTCAGGTCTCAACCACACAGCAACTTTGCTGACTATTCCTTCAGGTCTCAACCACAGCAACTTTGCTGACTATTCCTTCAGGTCTCAACACCACCAACTGACTAACTTTGCTGACTACTATTCCTTTCAGGTCTCAACCACAGCAACTTTGCTGACTATTCCTTCAGGTCTCAACCACAGCAACTTTGCTGACTATTCCTTCAGGTCTCAACCACAGCAACTTTGCTGACTATTCCTTCAGGTCTCAACCACAGCAACTTTGCTGACTATTCCTTCAAGTCTCAACCACAGCAACTTTGCTGACTATTCCTTCAGGTCTCAACCACAGCAACTTTGCTGACATTGTCTCAACCACAGCAACTTTGCTGACTATTCCTTCAGGTCTCAACCACAGCAACTTTGCTGACTATTCCTTCAAGTCTCAACCACAGCAACTTTGCTGACTATTCCTTCAGGTCTCAACCACAGCAACTTTGCTGACTATTCCTTCAGGTCTCAACCACAGCAACTTTGCTGACTATTCCTTCAGGTCTCAACCACAGCAACTTTGCTGACTCTCAGTCTTTGCTGACCTTCAGGTCTCAACCACAGCAACTTTGCTGACTATTCCTTCAGGTCTCAACCACAGCAACTTTGCTGACTATTCCTTCAGGTCTCAACCACAGCAACTTTGCTGACTATTCCTTCAAGTCTCAACCACAGCAACTTTGCTGACTATTCCTTCAGGTCTCAACCACAGCAACTTTGCTGACTATTCTTCAGTCTCAGGTCTCAGTCTCACCACAGCAACTTTGCTGACTATTCCTTCAGGTCTTCACTTTGCTGTCTCAGGTCTCAACACAACTTTGCTGACTATTCCTTCAAGTCTCACTTTGCTGACTATTCTCAGTCTCTCAACCACAGCAACTTTGCTGACTATTCCTTCAGTCTCAAACCACAGCAACTTTGCTGACTACAGGTCTCAACCACAGCAACTTTGTGTCTCAGGTCTCAATCACAGAGACTTTGCTGACTATTCCTTCAGGTCTCAACAACAGCAACTTTGCTGACTATTCCTTTAAGTCTCAACCACAGCAACTTTGCTGACTATTCCTTCAGGTCTCAACCACAGCAACTTTGCTGACTATTCCTTCAGGTCTCAACCACAGCAACTTTGCTGACTATTCCTTCAGGTCTCAACCACAGCAACTTTGCTGACTATTCCTTCAGGTCTCAACCACAGCAACTTTGCTGACTATTCCTTCAGGTCTCAATCACAGCAACTTTGCTGACTATTCCTTCAGGTCTCAACCACAGCAACTTTGCTGACTATTCCTTCAGGTCTCAACCACAGCAACTTTGCTGACTATTCCTTCAGGTCTCAACCACAGCAACTTTGCTGACTATTCCTTCAGGTCTCAACCACAGCAACTTTGCTGACTATTCCTTCAGGTCTCAATCACAGCAACTTTGCTGACTATTCCTTCAGGTCTCAACCAACACTTTGCTGACACTATTCCTTCAGGTCTCAACCACAGCAACTTTGCTGACTATTCCTATCAGTCTCACCAACAGTCTCATTCCAAGTCTCAACCACAGCAACTTTGCTGACTATTCCTTCAGGTCTCAACCACAGGTCTTGCTGTCTCAACCATTCCACAGTCTCAGGTCTCACAGCAACTTTGCTGACTATTCCTTCAGGTCTCAACCACAGCAACTTTGCTGACTATTCCTTCAGGTCTACACCACAGCAACTTTGCTGACTATTCCTTCAGGTCTCAACCACAGCAACTTTGCTGACTATTCCTTCAGGTCTCAACCACAGCAACTTTGCTGACTATTCCTTCAGGTCTCAACCACAGCAACTTTGCTGACTATTCCTTCAGGTCTACACCACAGCAACTTTGCTGACTATTCCTTCAGTCTCAATCACAGCAACTTTGCTGACTATTCCTTCAGGTCTCAACCACAGCAACTTTGCTGACTATTCCTTCAGGTCTCAACACAGCAACTTTGCTGACTATTCCTTCCTTCAGGTCAGGTCTCACCACAGCAACTTTGCTGACTAACCTCCTTCAGTCTCAACCACAGCAACTTTGCTGACTATTCCTTCAGGTCTCAACCACAGCAACTTTGCTGACTATTCCTTCAGGTCTCAACCACAGCAACTTTGCTGACTATTCCTTCAGGTCTCTCACCACAGCAACTTTGCTGACTGACAGGTATCAACCACTTCAGGTCTCTAACCAGGTCTCAACCACAGCAACTGACTATTCCTTCAGGTCTCAACCACAGCAACTTTGCTGACTATTCCTTCAGGTCTCAACCACAGCAACTTTGCTGACTATTCACTTCAGGTCTCAACCACAGCAACTTTGCTGACTATTCCTTCAGGTTAATAGCGTTTGATACAGCCCTCATGATTGAACAGCACCTGCACAAAACATTTAGCCGTATAAAATATGTTCTGTCTACAGAACCCGTTCTCCCCTCCCCTAAGCAAGTGACACTTAAAGCATACGGTGCTCAGCCCATTTTTAGACATATCAGAGCTCAGTGGGTGATGCAGTCAACATCGTGCTGGCCAGTCTTACTTCCCAAAACCTTCCTCGCACCCATTTTTTTTCAAGCTAGATCGCCCCAAAAGCTACTTTCCCAAAACTTCTTTGCGCCCATTTTTCAGCTGGATCCCCCTGAAATACCCCTTTTTTATTTAAGATCTAACACCATGCAGATTCAAACCCAAGACCTTACGGCCACTGGTGTATGTGGATACAACACAATTAATCCTGGCAGATTTGGTGAAAATAAGAGAGAACTGTATTCACTGCATGTCATACTTTGTAGGGCCCCCCCCCCCCCCCCCCCTGTTGAGACACCATCTTTATAGTTCATTATTCTCTGTAGTCTGGGCTATACAACATGTATGCACTCTTTTTTAACTGTAATAAGCAATTATTGCAACTCAAATGTAACTAAATATTCTACAAGTTGCTGTTTAAACTATACAGTTACTGCAATTAACTTTTAAGCATATAATATAATCATGATAAAGCAATAATGATATAATCATTATCTTCTTGTACATAACTGCAATTCCCTATTTCCACTGTACACTTGTCAGATCTGACAACTGTCGTACTCTGTTTAACTGTCGCAACTTATTTTAACTGTACACATTATTTTAACTGTATATTTGTTGAAAGATACACTTCTATTCGACTCACTACATTGGTTAACATAAAAGATAACTAAGAAATAGAGTAGCAAAGTAAATTAAGTTGCATATGCTTTACTTGACGTTGCCAAAAAAAAAAAAAAAACAGGATTTGTTTGGCTGATGTATAGTTTTTTTTTTTTTTTTTGAGACACTTTCGTTCAGCAGTTTTGTTTGCTGCTGCTTTCTGTACATTTCGTGTTTGAAACCTAGCAAGAGAAAAGAGCCAACTTCTTCCACATGCTTCTTCTTTTTCTCCCTTCTCAGTTCTTGAGGTTCACTGCTGCATGTGTAAACTGCCTCTATTCATTTCCGTGATTTGTCTTCTGTTTTTTAGCTGGCGATTCCAGGTGTTTGTAGTTCTGACTATATATATAATTATTCTCCACTGTCTTCTTGTTCCGTCATCTTGTCTACTCCAATGAAACTTAATTTGAATGCAGTTTTTGTCTCTCTGTTATTTAGCATCCTCAACCACTGCAGTCTACTGCCCCTCATGGTTATCATAACTAGTAGTGAATTTTAGAAAATTATAAATTTCGTTGGTGCTTCTCAATCTCCATTCTCCACCAACTGCCTCTCTGATGGGTATTTAGGTTCTCCATTTAAATCCATCTGAATTCACTGATTGGGGTTTTATATAGGTGAAAGTGTCAGCCCCAGTGTCAGAACTCTACACCTCGATCTGTCTGGCATTTCCAAACAAAATGTGGTTTCCAGCTCACAGACATGAAACAGTCATCTCAATGAAAATGCAGTGACTGTGTAACTATTCACTTACCATTGTGTTTGTGGAGATTGAGTTGGTCAGTTTAAACAGTTTGTGAAGTCCTTCAATTTCATATTGTGCGAGTTTGTCTGCAGGCATTTTTCACTACAAATTTCACAGAAGATTCTGTGTTGTACTCCTTGTAGTCACTGAAACACAAAGTAAACATGTACTGAGGGTGGACAGTTTTCACTGATAAAATCGGAACCCACAATCAAACATATGTCTTAATATAAGTAAGGCAAGCACCCTGTGTGTATTAATGGCTCCCTTACATGAGGTATTTATCAACTTCGTATGCCCTTATCAGATTTCTAATATTAACTATATCCCTATTGTTACTTCCACTTATTCTGTCCCATATGAAAACCGTTAGAAGGCCATGGACAAAAAATTAGAATAAAAAAACAAAAAGCTACCTTTTGCGAAAGATGAATAAAAAGCTACACTTTGCGAAAGATGAAACACAAGGCTGTTGCAGTAAGGTAACCACAATAGAGAGGAAAAAAGTATGCATCCCTACAGTACTTAATCTTGGGTAGTAAGCAAACATACATAAATGATTACAGGCCGCAAGCAAAGGCAACAGGTGGATATGCTGTGAGTAATCAAAGACAATCACACAAATGCTGCATATAAATAATCACAGGTTGAATGCTGAATTAAGCATCGACATCATAGCACTCAGGACACTCCCTTAAGCATTCAATCCCCGTCTTCAGCAGTATGCGAGGAGTTCAAATTCTGATGGCACTGGTAACTGTCTGACTGTTATCCATCTGACCTTTTTCTTAAGTATCAGTCACATCCCCTGATAACTCCTCGCAGAGCCACTCTCCTCAGACCGTAATGATTTATTTGAGCCTCCTCACTGTTCATTTGTTCCCAACAGAGCCTCAGAACATCTAGCTTGTAATACATCCATTCACCACCGACTAGTCTATCTGCCTGCTTGTTTCCCTACACACAGGGATTACCTAGAGAAAATATCCAAAAGAGGCCAACCACTGGGGACCTTTGCCTGGAGCATGCCTGTCTCCACCTTTCTCAACATGCTCTGTGAGTCAGTTACAATTACAGCATTTGTGTACAGCTGATTCCCAAGCGAGTGGTAGGCAGCCGTGACTGCCTCCACCTCCATTCTCAAACTAGACGGTTTCATATCATATACCAGGCCTTGTTGCACTGTCATATCATATGCCAGGCCTTGTTGCACTAAGCAACATCCATTCGCCTTTGTTATGGACCACCATGTTTTTTATATTAATCTTGAAAAAAAAGTTTGTTCCTTTGTTCGTTCTGCCTCTCAACACAGAGCCATCTGTATATATGACAACATCACATGGGCGGGAACTGTGATAAATAGTTGAACTTCTGACTGAGTTGAGTTAAGTCAAAAACTGACATCACAGCATGGGGGAAACATTCCCATATGCACTCCTTCCCTATTTTCAGCAGCCAGCGCAGAGTTCCAGTAATAATGTTAACAGTCATAGTCTGGTTCTCGTCCGTCATGCCTTTCCTTTGAGTGTAGTGAGCCAGCCAGACCCTCTGGTCACACAAAGGTGCATCATTCTTGTAATGACTGCCCTTTTGTGTCTCCTCCACACTGGCTATATGTGGTGCAGAGTTAACACTGGCTCTGATGTCTAGAGGTTCACAACTCAATCAAAGCAGACATGATCCTCTTCATGGTCACACAACGTCTAACAACGGTTAACACCAGCGGCACATTTCACGAGTTTATTTACACGTTAGCTCAATATACAAATCACAGGTGAATCCACTTACAGCATTCGGACAATAGACGTTGACATATTCACAGCTGGCTTTGACAATCAAACAGGGTACCATCACAGCTGGCCTTCTCGATCATTCATTCCTCGCCGATTCAGATCCACATGCTCTAGTCATTCTCCATTCATCTTCACAGCTTCATTTCCCATCCTTTCTCTCTGGGGCCCAGTCACCGAATGCCCGCCTGATTCTCAATCCCCCAGATCTCCTCATTCACACGTGACTCACTCTTTCCTGTCGTTTCACCATATCTCCGTGTAACCCATGCTCTCAAGGACTTCCCCATATATGCCAATCATCCCCTGACATTATCCCTATTTATAACATCATTACAATTCTCTCCAGGCCATAATAATCTTGTTTCTCTTCTGCCTTCATTACTTGTTCCCAAAGGGCTTTGACCTTGTCATGCATCCATTCACCACTTAGTGGTGCAGATCTAGCCAATCGGTCTGCCTGTTTATTCAAAAGATTCAAAGTATGCTCACTACCTGTGACCTTCCAAGTGAAGCCTGCACTTTGCTCGAAGCAGAAATGTCTTCACCTTTCTCAGCATGCTTTCAGTCTGTTACAATTACAGTATATGTATGAATCTTGATCATTACAATCAGCCAGTTTCTCTAGCCATAGGCAAGTTGAACTAATTCTGCAGCACCAGCTGGCCAGTCCCTGCACTCATGACCTAAAGTGATCAAAACCCCACACAAATCTAATTCCTGATAATCACAGGGACATGATGTACGTAAAAAATCGTGTTGCAACCAAAATAAACACATGTAAAGGCTCCATATAAATAATCATAGGTTGCAATCAAAGACAATACATGGAAATTCTGTACGTAAACAATCACAGGTCATAATCACGGCAACACACATAAATGCTGTACTTACGTAATAATAGGTGGTTGCTTTTCAGTGCCATGTAACATAACCTCTAAAACATCTTCCTTGTATGTCTGGGTCCAGGTTCGAACAGGTAACTCTGTGATCTCTAAAGTCGTCTCGTTAATAACTGCAATCTCTCCATGTACGGCGTAACGGCCATCACCAGTGCCTACATCCTCAATGACACCTTTAAATCCTTTGAAAGAAGGCAGCTGTAACAAAAATAGAGAACGGGGTAAAAGCAAGTAAGTTTCATTTAATATATCTCTCCATGTTGTTTCTGGGTTCCATTTTAGGGTAAGTGAAAAATAGGTGTAAACAGCGACTAATTAGGGGTTTCCTTTCCAAATCAGAGTGCCAGAGAGGCAAGGTACTAACATTCTGTATACAAATAAACCATATTTGTAAATGAGATGCGCACACAAATTTTGAAACAATACCAAAGTCAAGAAGTAGGCGAACAACAAGAATTTCTTGGAGTTTACAGCCAGCGTAAGTTGAGGAAAAGAAGATAAATAAATCTTCTTGAAATATCTAAAGACAAATCTTCAAGTCTTTTGAAGGAGGGCAGCTGTAGTACAAATAGAGAACAGAGTAAACAAAAAAAGAATAATCAATAGAAGTAAATTCAAAAAAAAAAAAAACAGTTACTAAAAACAATACAAGATACTAATACTAAATAAAAATTAAAAAAAAAAATAACAGCAAATATAACAGGCTCCTGTGACGAGGCACAGTATACAGAGCATCTACTATGCAAGCGTTAATGGGTATTTTGTGACAGGAATCACTGTGCTGCTAAGTGACTGTGTTCTTGATGGTAACTGTATCACTGTTTGGTTGTGCTGTAGAAAGCTTTCTAGCCGCAGTACTCATTTTGACATTCATGGCTGTGGAAGACTAGTTCTACTTCTCATATTTGGACTGATATTTTTTCAGGATACAAATAAAATACCAGAACTGACCATGTTCATAATTTGTTGAAATCACTACTGACTAATGGCATCAGAGCGGCTTTAAAAAAAAAAAAACAGACTGCAATAGTTTGGGTATATGGAGAATAGCAACTAATAGAGAGAAAACGAGAGAGCCAAAAACTGTATTAAAAAAAGTGAGTGGGAGAAGACCATGTGACAAACCAGAAGATGATGGGTAGATCTAAAAACATGGTGTCATCACGTGGAGAGAGAGGTCCAATCAAGGAGACAAAAAAACCTGCTGCTTGAAATGCTGAAGAAGAACAGCAGCAGACTTCAGGGGTGTCTGATGCCCAAACAAAAAATAATTATTAGACGAATATTAATTTAAAACTAATTTTTTTTATTTGAAAAGAAAAACAGATGTTGAAAGTAGGAAACATTAATTCCTACAGCGCCTTGGACACTAAAAGCATTAAAATATACAAATGTAAGGCCAAAAAAAGTAGGTTACACACCATTGGCAACGGATCTAGACCATCCAACATTCTGTGAATGTTTGCCACAATCTCCCTGACATCGTAGTTTGGAATCTTGGTGGACCAGCCAGTGCCGATACCCTCAGCTCCGTTGACCAGCACCATGGGAATGGTAGGGCAGTACCACTCTGGCTCAATCTTCTGGTTGTCATCATACAAGTGTGTCAACAAGGCATCGTCGTTGGCATTCATTATATGTCGTGCAAGCGGGCTGGTTCACAGACACAATTACATGAAGATTAGACATTTCTTCTCACACACTTCGGGTGCAGCTATTTTATGAAGGTAAAAACTATAATGATTTTGTTTTTATTAGTTAAAACAGTATATACCCAAGTGACAACTGCTGAACAATTTGTTAAAGCTGAATTGTAAGTACGGGCTGGGATATCAGCTTAGATGTTAGACCTGAGTGGTGACTTACTTTGGCTCAGTTATATTTGTTCCCATCAACACCAACATAAACAATGAACCACACAATGTAAGCCGATAGCAAAAGAGGAAAAGATACAGTGTGCTGGAGTAGATAGACTACAACCACAAATTAACAGTTTTTAAGAGGCACAACAATGAGAAATCAGGCAGAGACCTGTTTCTGCATTTGTCAAGTGTCAAGTTCAGCTACAGAGAACACATGTCAACATGGCAATACTCGGTTTGTTTTTCTTAGTCCAAACCCTGTGACATTGGTTAATCATGTCTCTGTCTGGCTTATGTAGTGTCAATCTTTCATGATATCATCCCATACCAAACCCCCATCATCATCTCTCATTTCCATCTCTCCAACTTTCCCCACTCTCAGGATATATTCAAATTTCCCTCGTCTAACTACGTGCCCAAATAATGCAGATCACTTGTCTTCACCCGGTGGAAAGTCCAGGTGGGTTGTAAACATATTCTGCCCAATCATGTAAGGGGTCAGGACCGTAATTTTTCTCTCTCAGAACTGCAGTCTGTAGGATTAACACCTCAAGGATGAGAATCAAAGTAAGTCACATCAGCTGAAAATGTCAACTTTGAGACATCAGATTTAACAAATAAACTGCTACATACATTTGTTTTTGCTTCTATCTTTAAACAGCTGTCAGGTGGGGCCATAAAACAATTTCCCACGTTTTTGTGGACCACGAGTGTAAAAAAGGTTGAACACTGATGTAGACTGTCTTGTCTCTTTATGAGTTTTTTCAACGCACCTCCGTTAAGCTTTTCAAAATCTACTATTGATGTTCTCATCAAACATAAAAAAATCAGATCTCTGTAGCTTCCAAATAACTGTTCACTAATCAGCTAACTGTCCATGATTCACTTTAGTATATTATGACTGGCTCTATCCAGCTCTCACTAAGGTCTCCGCCTGATTTCTCATTGTTGTGCCTCTTTAAAACTGTTAATTTGTGGTTGTAGTCTATCTACTCCAGCACACTGTATCTTTTCCTCTTTTGCTATCGGCTTACATCAAAGGAAACCTGTAATCAGGTTACTCTTACAACATGCTTATTAGGAAGGCAGTGGATCTGCTCCTCTCTGCCTCATTGACGGAGGTCACATGTTTCACATTGTATTTTAAGGCCCTGGGGATGTATTCATTTTATTGCTTGACTCTGTAGTCAATATTTTTTTTCATAAATATCCCATAACAAAAAATATTTACAAAATAAAATACAAATAGTTTTAATTAATCTTTATCAGTGACCTGTGTTTCAAACAAAAAAAAATTTTTTTTCAGGGTTCAGGTTCATTCCTCTCTTCTCTCCCCCCCCCCCCTTTTTTTTTTAAAATTCATTCACAGGGTGATGGGTGAAACATATCAACCTTCTCTGACAGTGCATTATTTCATTGTAATCACCATTACTTCTGTTTATTTGCTAACAGCCTTATTTTGTTCTTCTATCACAACCATGTCAATGTACTCACCTCAACATTGTGAAAATGTAACGTGGGCTAGCAGCATCTTTGCCGCCGTGGAATCTTGTTCCAAACTGACCTAGAGGTTGCAGCAAATTCAAGTTGTTGCTGCCCACGTAGTTCTGTGCCAAGCCAATGATGGTGCTCATTAGAGAATTCTGGGGGAACAGAAAGGACAGTGTCAATATGCAGATATCTGGGCAGAAAATACAAACACAGCCCAAATATCTTCCTGACTAACAGTCCTGCTATGTCCCCATGTGGGTTCCGGGGTCCTACTATGGGGAAAACAAGAATAGACTCACTGCTTACCCAAAAGCATGTCGTAAGAGTCGACTAATTGGAGGCTTCTTTCGAAGTCAGAATGCATCTGCCTGAAAGGCAAGGAACCAACAGTCTGCATACAGATCTGTCAAACGGATGCACACGCAACACTCAGGTTCTGGTACAGGACTGCAGTCCTGAAGTGGACGAACAACCAGAACTTTCGGCCGGAGTTTACAGCCAGTGAACGCGAAGAAGAAGTAGTCCTGTTATGTACAAAACGCAGATATAACTAATTAAATGAGCAAGAAAACACCAAACAGGTAGTAATAAAATAAATTTTAAAAGAAAGGACCCAAAGATCTGATCTACTGTGATGTTAACAATTAAATAAGCAAGAAAACAGAGATCCGATCTAATGTGATAATAACTAATTAAATTAGCAAGAAAACACAGATCTAATGTAATGGTAACCAATTAAATGAGCAAGAAAACCAAGAGTTTATCTTGTCATGGCAACCAATTAAATAAGCAGGAAACCCAAGAGTTTATCTTGTGGTGGCAACCAATTAAATGAGCAAGATAACACAGAGCCTGTCCTATTCTGTTCTTTATCTCTGTGACACATCCTCTATCTGATGTTATCCATGTGCCTAAATTTCTGTACCTGTAACACCTTTAATTTTTATAATACATTTAGGCACCATTCTTTTCTTGGAAATAACCATTACTTCTTTATTCCTATTATCAATCTGAGGCCCATGTTTTCACTTTCTACCAGCACCACATCTATCAATTCCTTTAGTTCTTTCTGACAAGATGATGTCATCAGCATAACAAATCTCATTATGTACTTTTTCACACAGTAAAATGCTTTTGCAGTCACTGAAGCATAATTAAAGATCATTTTTTACTCCTGTAGCTCTTTCCAAAAGAGTCCTGCGGGGATGTATATGGCACTGTTTTTACCTTTTGCTTCTACAAATCCACTATTCTTCACTGTGACAGTAACACATTAAATGAGCAAGAAAACAAATATCTTCATTGTTCTGATGGCACTGAAAAAAATTGTTTAAAAGAACCAAAGATCTGACCTACTATCATGGTAACTACTTTAAGAAAGAAACAAATCTGACCTACTGTCATGGTAACTACTTTAAGAAAGACAAAGATCTGACCGGCTATCTTTGTAGCTAATTCAACAAAGACAAAGATCTGACCTTCTGTCATGGAAACTACTTTAAGAAAGACAAATATCTGACCTACTGTCATGGTAACTAATTCAACATGTCATGGTAACTAATTCAACAATGACAAAGATCTGACCTACTGTAATGGTAACTAGTCTAACAAAGATCTCACCTCTCCGTGATGGTAGGCAGACTGTTCAGCAACAGAACCTGCAAGCTGTGCCACCTTGAGTTCCTTGTTGACGAGATTTCGCTTCAGGCAGGTGAATATGACCTTTCTCTGACCTACCAGGTGACAAAAGAAACATTTTTACTCCACCTCTAGCATGATTGAAGAACTTTTGCATCTTCAAGCCCTTCTTGAAGCACTCATGTGTCCTTCCATTGTTGTTGTGTACATTTTTAACCGCATCACAAAGCCTAAATTTGATCATTACTGGTCAACAGCTTTCTAGTGTTAGCAGCTATGTCACCATTCTAATCCCCTATGGATATATTTAGTGTCACTGTCAAGGACCTTGTATCTATGCTACTCAACTACGGCTCGTTGTACGGCCCTGTGACAGACACACTATATTAGAACACACACCTATTGAGTACACACATAATATTTAATGCACAAAGAGCAGTTCAACCTAAAGCAACGTCAACAGCTATGGACAGTCCCCAATCTGAAACGCCAGCAGTGGCAGCATTAATATTTACTTATCCACCCTGAGCCGTTCCCATGGATGTACCAGAGGAAGCTCAGTGGCACAGGCAGGATGAGTGATTCAAGTATTAGCGGTCAGTGTTAAAGCTACACCAAACACAGCTAAACTCTAATAACCCATAGCCAACTAATAACCCATAGCCAAGAACAACTACCTATGCATGACACAACACAAACACAACTGTTTTAGAATACCATAAGCACACGAGGAATACCAACAGCTAACCAACACATTTAATAACACTAACAGTCCCTATCTTTCAACTCTTAACACAATACAATCTATTACGTCTCTATATGTCTTCAGCCTCACACGTCCAACGTTCTTCTTCTCTCCTCAATCGGCTTCGGGTAAAACGTGCATGTGGTACCATTGTTCAAGCCATCTCTGGTTTTCCCCCATATCGTCAATTTAGCTGGCTGACCCCTGGTGCACCGTTTAGTCCGTCAAACACAAACATATGAAGTCACAAGTCGTATCGTGTTTACTCTGTCCCATACCCTTCTTACAGGGCTATGACAGTCCCAGACAACATTGTCAACTGGAGAATGAACGCCTGCTTGTGTTCTTATGAAAAAAGCTATGACGAAATCAGAATGGACGCATTTCATTTGATCACACTTTGCATGTTATTTAAAGCCCCTATAGTGCAATACAATATCTTTCAATATATAGAAAGGCTTTTTATCCTTCAAATGTTCAAACAAGTAAAATATCTGAGACATCAGAGGCAGCAAACCGCTCAAAAAGATGGTGCCTGTGACATCAGATGCCACACCCCACTCAAAGAACAAAATACCTGTGACATTAGATGCCCCACCCTACCACACTGAAGAAAAAAAAATATTTTAAGACCTAACAATTTTAAGACACATACCTGTCTAATAATTAGTCCACACTCAATGTCTTTGAAGAAAACCCGATATCGAATATATTCATCTATGCTAAATTTGCATATGAGAAACATTAGCATTATGAGAAACATTAGCATGTTTAACAAAGATCACAAAACATATAATCACTGACCTGGCTTAAGGCCATCCATGAGAGAAGGGATGGAGCGAACCAAATCTGCATTGCTGAAGAGAATGAGCTCTCTGTTGACAAAGTCACTGAAGGAGATACTGCGTGTTTCTTTGCCATAGAGGTACAGCTAGTAGAGAAAGAATATAGTTTAGTCCGATTTGTATGGTAATATTTAAGGCAGGTTCAGAATCCTTTATACTTCTTAAAAAATGTTATGCTTTTAGTTAGTACACTATATAAATGTGATTGTAAATGCTTCTTTCTATGATAATTTTGTATATAAAACTATGTTACATATAACACGACTACTTGCCACGATATATCTCTAAAACAACATCACTACTTCCCATTACATATCTCTAGAACAATACCACTACTTGACATCTATTTTATACATAACTTGATATTATATCTCGTTAAAACAATATCATTACTTGACATGACATCTCTCTATCACTCTAAAATACCATCATTACTTGACATGGCATCTCTATAAAACATTGTGTGATATGACATCTCTGAAAAAACATCACTACCTGATATGACATCTCTACAAAAGAAATATACTTCTTAGTCTAGCAACTCTGATAAAATATCAATTTTTGACATGATAGCTGTTTCTAAAAAAAAAAACATCAATTCTTTATTTGACAGCTCTACCAACAACAACAAAACATCCATATATAACATCATTTTTCTGACACACTTCTCTATAAAACAACATCACTTTCTGAAACCAAACTTACAGACACAGTGTCTATAAACCAATAAATAGTAAAATAAAAAAATAAAAACAAGTTTATTCTGTATCCTTTTCACGACAATGCAAAATCAACTCTAGCCTTTCTCCTTTGGCTATTTGTGATTTGACTACAATAGTTTGCCAGTTTTCTGAATGGTCATCTCTGGATATCATTGTCAAAATCAATTGAAACTACTGCCCACACCTGGAATCGAACCAGGCAACTCAAGATTACAAACTGCATCAGCAAGACCTAAGCTACAATTGATGACTCACAAATATGCTATCCATATTTAAAAATGCACACACAAATCATCCACATAAAACAAAATGCATAGACATGTCATCCACACAAAACAACAAATGCAGACATGTCATCCATGTCAAACAACAGACTTATAGGCTACAAAACAGCAAACTCGCTCATTGATATGATATCCCTATACATAAAAACTCACTTCTGGAAGCCCTAACTCCAATCTCCTCTTCTTCTCCAACATGTGATTAGTCAGCCACTCCTTCCTCTCTTCACATTTCTTCTTGCTAAAAGCCAGAACAATGGCAGAGTCGTCCTCGCCCCCAGCGTAATGGAATGGGATCCTGTGCCGCTGCATGTCAGAAAAATACTCCTTGGCCTCCTTGGCTGTGGATGTGCCCAAACCTGACAGAAGGAACGTGATTTGTCAACATTCAACAGCACTGCAGACATATTTTTGAGACAGACACCCCCATAACTGTATGCTGTATTAATGAAGGGTATGTTGATTTCTAGCATTCCAGTTTTACTTTAGACTAAAACAATTCCTTTAACCTTCTGTAATATTGAAAAGACAACCTATAAGTCCAGTCAAATTCTAAGGGAGTCGCCAAGGCATTGCGGCTAGACACTTGAAGGTTGTGGGTTCATTCCCTAGTGGAGCCAGACTTTTTTTTTCAAAAATAAGGTCACCTTGACTCCCAGGTCTACCCAGCCGTGAGTGGGTACAGGGTGCAGTCCAAGGAAGTAAAGGTGGCGGAGTGTTGCTGACCACATCACCCATCTTGTGCTGATTGGTCTATACAAATATAACTCTAGCCCTATATGCCTAAAGGCGTGGGAAAGGGACCTTTACTGACAAATTCTATGCTGAAGAATAAATTAACCCCTAGCAGCTGGGTAACCCTAGAAACAGACAACTGCGACCCTAACAAGCATATCATTGCAGATCACTTATACAGGTGTTTTCAGTGCATCTGCTTGCAAGGCAAGGAACCGACCAGCCTGCATACAAATAAGATGCACACACAAAACTCAACTGCTGGAACAAAACCAACAAAGTCTTGAAGTGATGCAACAACCAGAACTTTCCACTGGAGTTTAAATCTGGTGAATGCAAAGAAAAAGATGAAATGGTACCACAGAAATCACCAATGTAGAACTATTGGAGAGAACTTGGAAAAAAAACTCAAATAAATTGATGAAAAGACAGGAAGTTTCATAACAATATAGCTAGTCATTGCATTGGAATCTACAGTCAGAAAAGAATAGAGGCAACCACCAAAAGGATACTTGTAAGAGAACTAAAAATTAGGTGGAAAAGATGGGGAGGATATAGTGTGAGCTACAGGTGATGGAAAAGGATAGGAGAACTTGGTATGGGTTAGCTGGGGGCCTGTGCTCCACTGGTGGATTAAGGTGAGGAAGCATTCAAAAAGAACACCATGGGGAGGGGGGAGTCTAATACAGAGTGATCTGACAGTCAAACCTTTGTAATACTTTATCTTGTATGTGTGCCAATTGTCGGTTGCTCGCTTCCACTCCTCAAACTCAGGCAAACTGTAGAAAGATCTTTCCGTCTTCGCTTTTGAAACCTGCAATATTTAACATAATATTACAAACAACAGAAAAAACAATAACTATAAATTACTCTGGAAGATTTTTTTTTAAAGCAACAATACTGTAATGGCAAACTCTCTCTCATGCACATGTGCACACACATACACAACTAAGTGTAGTGACTTTACCAATAAATCCTCGAATATGCTCACATATAGTGCCTGAAGCTTTACTACTAGCATATCAAACTTTTATTGCCAACACACACACAACTTTAGCTATCTTTAATCACTCGCCTTTGACAACATGCCTAAGAAGTAGTGGGGTATCACCTCCCTACAGCCTCTCTAGGACCCCGGAAACAACACAGAGACACTAACTGTTTACCTTGACAATGGGAGTGATGAACTCCTCTACAAAATTGTGCCGCAGCAAGCTGGGCCAAAAGTGATGGATAAAGTTGACAAGGAGTCCCTTGATGTGTGAGCCGTCCTGATCCTGATCAGTCATGATCATCAACTTTCCGTATCTCAGTTGCCGGAGCTTCTCTGGATCATCATAGTTTTCTTTGAAGTGCAGACCTAGAATCTTGATGATGTTGTTGACTTCAGCATTGTCCATGATCTGCAGGAGCAAGTTTCAATTAAACAGTGAGATAACAGAAGGAAGAATCATATCTCTCTTTCTGTGTTTGTGTGTGAACAAGTTTCAATTAAACAGTGAGATAACAGAAGGAAGAATCATATCTCTCTTACTGTGTTTGTGTGTGTGTGTGTGTGTGAGCAAATTTCAATTAAACAGTGAGATAACAGAAGGAAGAATCATATCTCTCTTTCTGTGTTTGTGTGTGTGTGTGAGCAAGTTTCAATTAAACAGTGAGATAACAGAAGGAAGAATCATATCTCTCTTTCTGGTGGGTGAGGGTATGGACGTGTGCGTGTGTGAAAAACTATCGCTGATAAAAGAGACTTCATAGCAGAATGTATTCCTCTAAAACCAGAGGCACAGCACCATGGTCCCTAGAGTCTGACAGTTGCCTACTATAAGCTGAAACTAATTAAAAAGAAAAAAAAACAATCTGACTAAGGTGTTATGATATAAACCAAAAAAAACATAATGACCCCCAAATAATAATTTTTGTTTGAATTTGATTGATGTATCAGAAACTTACACTGGTAAAAGAAACTAAACAGAGTTATTTTTTAAAGGAGACACTGCCACCAAAGAAGGAACCTGAATAGCGTTATTTATATAAACAGCATGATGGAAAAAACTACATCTGTGCCGATCATTTGGCCCAACAATACAAGCCTTGAGATTGGCTAGCAGGTTTTTGTAACAGCCCATCAGATTGCTCCTCGCATTTCTTGCACATGTGGCTGTTCAGTGACAGCTTTTATGAAAGTTTGTTGTGTCCTCTAATTTTACATGGATTTTTTAATGTGCGTTACCTGTGCTCAACAATAGTAAAAAGAAAAATCAATGTGATTCATTAAGACTGTGTTAGTTCATTTAATTTTGTTTACAGGGGTATAAATAGTTTTATTTGTTTGTTAAATGCTTCATCTTTTTATAATAATTTTGTGTGTGCAAATCTAAGAAAATCCCCTTCTGAGGGCTCCGTCTTCTTGGCACTAAAACTCCATAAGGCTCCATCTCCAAAGGGTTAAATTACACTGAAATAATAGAATGCAAAAATAATACTGAGACAAATGTACCCCTGAAATAGTACTATCAGTGAACTATCAAATGAGCTTACGCAACCCACCTGTTTGTGTGTGGCCTCCCGCACATTGAGCATTTTACCCTTCAGTGGGAAAACACCGTATCTGTCACGCCCGATGACAGACACTCCAGCCATAGCAAGAGATTTGGCTGAGTCTCCCTCAGTGAGAATCAAGGTACAGGACTGCGAGTTCTTGGTGCCAGCATCGTTGGCATCGTCTAGTTTGGGGATGCCCTTGAGCTTGGAATGTTTCGAGGAGTGGCATTTCTGGTTGAGCTGGGCCTGTGCCTTGAACTTCATCCAGGATAAGATGCTCTCAACAATCCCACACTTGTTCACCTGTGACAGGTTATTTAAAAGTGACTCAGATGACATCTGCAAACACTGACACTAAAACATTTTTACGACAGCAGGGTAGTTATGCTAAAACATGTAACTAACAGTAACTGTTAATATATAGCAAAACCTCATTAACCCACTGACTACCAAGCCCATTAACCCTTGCATTTCCCCAGATACCACGTACTTTAGTGTTTACTAAAAATGCCATAGCTTCACAACTATTTGATATAATCTCACAATATTTTGTATTTTTGCACCAAACTGAATGAAGAACAAATTTCAAGAAAAAAAAGTTGTTTATTTTGTTTTGCATCATCATCATGTGGCTGTAGATTAGTGCAAAAAAGGCAACCGAAAAATCTTTTATCTGACAACAATAAAGACTAATAAAAATGTCTTATTTTCAAAAAATATTTAACAGAAATGTATATTTTGCACAAAATTAAACCAAGAACCCATTTAAAGAAAATAAAAATAAGGTTTACTCTGACATAGTCATCATCATCATGTGGCTGTAGATTGTTGCAAAAAAGGCAACTGAAAATCTGACAACAATAAAGACTGAAAGTGATGATTTTTTTTTTTTCAAAAAAATTCAACAAACATATATTACATTTTGTATTTTTGCACAAAATTGAACCGAGAACAATGTGAAGACTAAAAATGGGGTATACTTTGTCTACCATAATCATCATAATCATGTGGCTGTAGATTGTTGCAAAAAAGGCAACTGAAAAATCCTTTATCTTACAATAATTCAGACTCCCAAAAAATGTCACAGCTTCACAAGTGTTCAATATCACTTATCCTATCTGATATTGTTTGCACCAAATTAAATTAACAAATATCAAGACATATGTAGATTTACTGTTTTATATCATCATCATCATGTGGCTGTAGATATGGTGCTGAAAAGGCAACAGACAAATCTGTTATCTGACAGCAATATATAGAAAACGCCCCCGTGACGTGATGGTGGCAGCAAATGTATAGACTCCGGCAGTCTGAAATAGACGGCTTTTTCACAACACATGTGATGCAACAATACACGAAACCATGTTCCTTCATTTGGGGTTGTGTGTTTCCACTTCTTGGGAAAACAGGTGTCTGGTTTCGCACCAATCTTTGCCTCAGCATAACGGTTTGTTTCTTTAGCAAACACAGCCAGAATTTCTTTACTGAAGAAAATATTCAGTGGTTCATTTGTTCCTGCTGGCAGAAATGAACCAAAAGTGCCAGTAAATGGGGGTACACCAGGAAAGCCTTCCAAATCACAATGCCAGTCATCAACCATTGGGGGGGGGGGGGGGGTGGCGTGGCACATCTTCCCTGGACTCGTCAGATGATGATGATTCTGAATCAAAAGCGGCAATGATATCTTCGTCATGTGCAGACTCACGCACAAAATCTTTATAATCTGTGGGCTTTGACTGAATACTCTTACAAGAACTATCAGCATCATATAAACTGCGGCACCAGTACTTGCAGCCAACAACACTGTCTTTGTCAGACTTGACTTCGAAGCTTCATGCTGTCGTTTTACAGTCGACGATGTTTTGAATGGCACTTCGTTAAATTTATTATAGTCATAGCCACCAAACTGTTCAGATGTGTCTTCAAATTCACTTTTTAAAGCAAAATCAAGAAAATCGAATGCATCATTAGAAAAATTAGGAGAGATATGGCCACCACGATGGTTCCGATAATTTGACGCCATGATGAATTTTTTGTCAATGTCTCACCGTCTTTGGTGCTAACTAAATTTGTCAAATATTTACTTCTAGCACTACGAAGTTATTTCCCTTAATTAACCATACAGAAATGAATAAGCTAGAGGTTTCAACTAAATCCATCATAAAAATCGCGATTTTAACATGACGGCGAGCGTCCAAAGCTAAAATCGCAAAGCGTGCGACGTTGGTGACAGGAAGTAAACGTCACCTCGTCGCATAACGTGCAACGTTGGTAGTCAGTGGGTTAACGCCAACTCAGTTTAGATTCCTAAAGAAGAACACTCATTTAACATTTAAAAAATGTTGATTCCAGCAGCAATGTATGATTATTAGTCCCAGGTCAGAATGTAATTGTTTTTTAAACACTCTTGATTTTACTGTCCCTGGGATTTCAGGAAGAGGTCTTACTGTAGTTCAATGTCATTTGAGCATACTTCCGTATCATCGAGAAAACTTGTTCAAGATATGTCAGGATCACATCTTAATTTACTTTCAAATATCTGCAAATGCGAAGAAGAGAATTTATGTGCTGGGTGTGGGTAAATGTCACACATAAACAGCAATGTTTGAACTTACGTTCAGTTAATCATCTGCCAGAAAAAGTTTGGCCCCCCCCCCCTAACTTGAAGCACCAATTTTGGACTAAACAGACAGTGACCTACCTGCTGAATGAACTTTTCCGACAGCACACATTTGGAACCAAACCCTTTGGCCTGTTTGGTCATGTTCTCTTTGGTCTGGGAGTCAAAGGTTGGGTTCTCAATGAGACAGTTCACAAATACCCACAAGTGATTTTTGACCTAGGAGAGAGACAACACAATACTAGCAATCAATACAATAGACAATAAAGCAAATGTTTTAGTAAACAATATTTATTTGTATTTTTTTTAAGCCTGGAAAGAAACAACAGCTGGTATGATTTTAAACATCACACACTAAGTGTTGATTGGTCTATAGCAGTGATTCTCAAACGGTGTGCCGCGAACTATTGTAAAAGCTTCATAATTAATTTAACCCAGACACGAATAGTCATACTTTTACTTAGATTAGAGCGCCGTAAATAATTTTAATTGCAAAAAAAAGGCGCTGCGAGCAAAAGTTTAGGAAACACTGGTCTATATAATATAGCTCTAGTGCTATATGCTCAACACACGAAGACGTTCAAAAGGGCCGGAATAAACTTCAGCACAACAACTTTAGTCACTCCCAACACGATTCTCCGGTGGGTTTCATCCTAGTTTCCTCAACCCAATTGTTTTTCATTTCAGTGTCTGTTTACTGATTCTCTGACCATCGCTTGTCAAGATGTGTTTAATGTTTAGCCACCTCCGGCTTATAACTGGTGATACTAGTGGCTGTCAGGACATTCTTTGATTCATCATTTGCCTGTCTTAAATTCACATTTAATGTTCATCAGTTTTCCCAGGAAATTACTGTCGATTCCCAGGCAATTTTGTGATGTCTTTAGTTGTCTCTAACTTTCAATGGTATATGTTAAAACTGAAATAATGTTAAACTATAACTTGGTTTTTAAGAACTATTTAGTTTAGGGTTTAAATTTTGTTTTAGCCTTTAATAGTTATTGTTGCCTTCCACAAAACATATATAGCAAGTGTTTTTTTTAAATGTATCAAACAAACAAACAAAAATGAAAACAGTAGACAAACTAAGAACAAGACATCCACTCACCTGGAAAGGTTTAATATTGACACCTCCCTTGTTTTTCCTCCTGACAACATCAATGAGCTTGGTAACACACTGGTCAGCAACATAATCAACATGGCGACCACCCTGTCAAGGACAATGCCAACTATTAGAAGACCTCTGTTTTTTTCTTCCAGTCAACAAGCAAAAGCAATGGTAAGTCTGAATATAAGTATCTTGTAACACACACCTTAAGAACCACAGATGAAAGGGGTCCTTAACTCTACCCCTTCTGTCTCAAGAAGGGTAAATCTAATCACATCTGGCTGACATAGACCCCATAAATGCCAATAAATGGTCATTTCTTCAGTGACCTGTTCTCAAAAAGTGGATTAAATGTCATTGGTTCTATGTATGCGTAGTGTTTAGGAGACCCAGATGTAAATGTATTAACTAAATATAGATTAAGAGTGGTTTCTCTTCGGTCCTAATAGCTTTTCTTAAGTGAGGTTGACTTCCATTTTTTTTTAGCATTCTTGGGATGCAAGGGTTAATAAAAGACAACATCTGCAATAAGAGGAAGTCACTGTGGTGTAGCGGCTAGACACTCGCCTGCAAATCGCAAGGTTATGGGTTCAGGCTTGACAGAACCAGGCTTTCTTCAAAAATAACTTTAGCTCCCATGTCGACCCAGCCTTAAGTGGGTACCAGCTGCAGTCCTGGGAAGTAAAGATGACTGACCACATCATCCACCTAGTGCCGTTTGGTCTATAAAATATAGGTCTAGCCCTATATGCCCAATACACATGAAGGCATGGAGGGAGGGGGGGGGGGGAGAGGAGATCATCTCCTTTACTTATCTGCAATAAGACATGGCAGGCTTACCTTAGTTGTAGCAATGCTGTTGACAAAACTGACTTGCTGAAAGCCCTTGTCACTCTGAGCTACTGCCACTTCCCACCTCTCATTGATCACCTCATGGACAATTTTCAGCGGAGCCCCTGCATCATCTGTTTTATCTTTCAGGTACAAGTCTATGTAATCTCGAAATCCCTTGACCTGCGGAGACACCAGATATTTGCTTATTCAAGTTACCACTTTTAACAACTGACTGTAAACATGTTTTGTACACAACTTCATGAGATAAGACAGCTTAAGAACAACATACAGAATATGGGGACGACTCAAGTACTGCATACATGAGATGAGATAATCACAGTGCTGTATATATGAGACACAGTAACCTTAGTACTGTATTCATTACATAAGATAAACCAATTACACAATATCCAGTACAGTGTGCTAATGTGTGCAAATCATAACTTTTGGATAATGGAACAACCCAAGTACTGCATTTATAAGAAAACGCAAACCAAGTACTATACACATGAGATGGGACAACCCACACTATTCATGAGGTGGAATGATTTACCCAACTTAATCAAAGAACAGAGGATTTGGGGAGCAGCCCATCCACACTGCTGCTAAGAATGCAAGAATGGAGTAAAGATCAGCACAACCAGGCACAAGCGGCACATAAGACAAATGAAAATTCTTGTCCGCCAGCAGAGGTTTAGCATCATTAACCACAGGATGCTGATGTACATACTGATGGGAAAATCTGAAAAACTTATGGACGTGTTCGGAGTGCCGTATGGATAACCTAATTCATAATTCTCACAATCAACCCAAGCCTGAATGGTCAATGCAAGTGCTATATCTATGAGATAAAACTGCTTACTAAATACTACATACATGAAACTAGACAAATGACCAAACCACTATATCCATGAGATGTGTGGTTACCCCAAATAATACAGTGATATTTCAGCTAACAAAGAAATTCATTAGCTAAAATGTCTTTAGTGAGAAAATTTCAGCTCATAAGGCGGCCACATTATGTCAGCACAGCATGCATTAAAACATTTGGTAGCCAAACAAATTTGCTAGCCAATGCTGGAAAAGTTACAAATATATGCACTAGCTAAAGTTTCATTGCACTGATGGGAAACAAACAATAACATGCGCTCAACCAAATGCATGCAATGAGAGCCAAGCATTACACTCAATACTCACAGGCACCCTCTTGCCGTTGAGAAAAACTTTGACCCCCTTAGAACTGGCAGCTATATCGTAGGCTCGTCTAGTAAACAGTGCAACCACATCATCATTCAGCTTATCCATCTTGAATTTCTCCAGATCTGGGTAGAAAGTCACTGAGGTGAAGTCTGACTCCTTAGAATCCGTGATTGTGGGCTCCTTGGTCTTAGACATGTTGTCAGACCATGTCTGTGGAAAGAAAACAATCGGTCACCGAAATGCTTCATTTCATCATCATGATTTTCCAAAAGAATCATATACCAATTCCATTTTTCTTTTTCTGTGTTCGCTCTAAAAAAAAAAGAGACAATGTATTGACTGGCACATGTGAATAACTCTAAAAAAGGAACTTTGACAGACTGCTGTCGTTTACAGACAGGCTGCAATATCTGCACTTTTGGGTCCATCCAAACCTCTTGATAAGCTAGAATTTGTCATGATTTTATATTAGTGCCAAATTTCTAATTCCAGCCTCTGTAATACAGTTCTACTTGTAACAAATCTGGCTCGCTTGGGAACAGACACAACTTCCTACAATGACTAATGCAGAACAGCGCTCAATTTCCAATACACATTCTGTCAGTTTATTTTCTCTGATTCTTTCATGATACTACGACAACAGCCATTCATACAACATTGAATAGACTTAATTCAAACAGGAAACTGTCCTCCTTAACTTCTGGTACACAACTGACCACAGGCCAACCTCAGGTTTTGTACCGTTTACCTTTCCAGCCTCAAGTAACTCGGGCGGTCGATTTTCTTCTCTACTTTCTGTGACCGTGGAGACCATGCAAAAGTAACAATATCTGATTACACTGTTATTGTCCAGTCACAGTGGTTCCCTATCCGTAAACCCAAACGTGTGAGAACTTCATAAAATATTAGTGAGTCACAATTACTGACTGGCTCTCTCTCTCTCTATACACACACACACACACACATATATATATATATATATACACACACGTTCTTCTGCAGTCGTTCATAAAATGATGCTGGCATGTTAAGTTTACAACAAGGTTGTGATAGCAGTGCTCGTCAGGTCAACACATTCAATTTCAGCAAATCCTTAATTAGTCACCTTTTATGAATGCTTGTTAAGAAGAAGCGCGTCTGTTTTTTTTTTCTTTTTCTCAAACAATACCACAGAAATAATTTATTCTAACTGCAACATTTGCCATGCACAACTCTGCACCCACTCCAAACCTATACCATGCTTTTGACCCTCAAACACCCCTGTTATCCTTATAGATTGACACTGCAAACTCCAGCCCACTCCTGACACTTTTGCATACACTAATCCAGAACCACCCCTCACATTAGCCCTGTAAAACACACTTCGCTCACCTCACAAACACTGGTCAGTCTTCACACACCTCCTCTTGCCCTGACAAAAAAACCAGCCAGTATGCATTTGCGAACATTGACCCCATTTTAAATCCCAACCTAATCTTGTAACCTTCCTCCTGCCCCCCACCAAAGCTCATTACAACTCTCTGCACTGTCAACAATTCTTCCTCAGTATTCTGAACCTTCAAGGTTCATTTCTGCAAATATCTCCCACCTCCATTCACCCCTGTGATTGGACTTCTCTCTCCACTTAGGGGCCAAGTGACTGCAGATCTGCTTGTATATTATCTCTCTACCATCTTCTTGGTCTGCCTAGCTCTCTGCTCCAATTTAATTCTTTTCTGTGTGCACTATTTTTCTCTCTCTCTCTCTCTCTCTCTCTCTCTCTCTTACATCTAATAATTCTCTCTTATGCCCTAACCATGATGCCAGTCATTAGTGGTAGTTTTCACAGATCATAAATTTCACACATCATTTGCCTCTTCGGTGGATTTTAAGACTTCTCAAAAAGTCGAATAAAGCTCCTTCTCTTTTAGCTGTTCTCCAGGTTTTAGCTTAACTATGTCTTCGTGAAAAGCCAGAAAACTGACAATTCCAGTTGGAACCAATCCTCTGTAAATATCACTTTACCAACATTGATAAACTGACCCATCCCTGAGATGCAGTTATTACCATTGGCTGTGTTTGCTTGTGCACAGCCTTCAGGAGGCCAGGATATGAATATATTTCTAATAATAGCATTTAGCAGTTTCTAGTGGGGGAAAAATAGCTTTTTAAGCCATTTGATACTATAATGTGTCAGTGGTGTACAGTCAGAATGCTAACAATGTCACAGAATCACGGTATAAATCCCATAAAACATGGTGGTATTCTGTTTTGTTTCTTATGGCGTCAGGGAATGTATTCCATTTAATGCTTTACTCATTCATGTTTACTGATTACTCCCTTAATAGATTTCAAACAAATATTAATCAATTATGTCAAGCAGTTTTTATTTCTTTTATTTTGTGGGAAATTTTCAGGGGATCCTGACCCGGGAGGGTTGGGTGGGTGGGTGGGGGGGGGCCAACATGGTAAATAATGCAAATAATAAACACTCCAAGCAGGAGGCATCATTTGGTAGAGCAGTGCTTAGATATACATCACCTGTTTAAAAGCTTTCTTGTATTCGTTGGAAGAGGTCTCCACAATAAACTTTTTGCTGAAGATATTACACAACTTGGCACCATACCCGTTCCTACCACCTGAAAACAAAACATGTGACAGACTGTAAACCTGATGTCAAGTATCAGTCACCTTGGCAGATAACAAATGACACAAACAACATAAGACATGTTCCTTGCAAGGTGACAACTCATAAAGATAATAAGTTTTAATACAAAATATCTTGCATGAAACCTAGCTTTCATGTGAGTTCAGGGGTCCCATGTGGAGGGGTGAAGAAAGAGGGAGAGAGGAGAGAGAAGAAACCCACTGCTGATTTGTTAGGTCAAAATATCTGATAACACAGCCTAGCTGTAAACCACAATACAACTTACCAACTGCCCTTTTTAAGGGCGACTGCAAGCAGAAAAAAGAACATCATTTTCAGGTGACAATCAGACAACCAATATTATAGATAAAGTACATCAGATAACTGCAGGTGACAAGCATCTAGCCATTGTATTATTGTAGCTGCCTAGACAGTACAGAATCTCTAGTCTAGTGGTTGCTAGTTTGGTGGTCCACAGAACAAATGTAAGGGATCCATATACAACAACAAACCTCAACTTTAGAGTGCACACTTTTTTTTTTGCAATACTAATATTCATAAAGTTGTGTAAGTTCTTGTGTGACTATTAACAAGTGTGGGTGGTCTGTAGCAGACCAACAATAAGAGGGTCCACAGGACTTAGCTAAAAGGACACTCTAGCCCAGTGTTATGTACAGTGGTCGGAGGAAATGAGCTGGCGGGCTGCCTAAAACTTCTGCCCAATTACATAGCAGCTTTCCTTGTTGGTGGTCCATGAAACAATTCCCCTTGTTTTGCTGGTCCACAGGCATAAAAAGGTTGAAGAACACTGGTTTATTCTTTTATGGTCTGTGCTACCGTCACAGCTGTTACTATTATTATGAAAAGTTTTCTACACCACAAATAAGAACAGTATGATGGAGGTACCTATTACTACTGACCTGTAACTTTCATCTCAGTGTCATCGTAGTTGCTTGACGTCAGTAGGTGTCCAAAGATCATGGTTGGTACAAACATCTTCTCTGTCTTGTGCATAACTACAGGGATACCTTTCCCGTTGTTCCACACCTTGATTTTGTTGCTCTCTCTGCAAACATTCCCAACTCAGGCTTAGTTTTTATTTCAGCATACCATTCTTCAGTCATACATTTACAGTATGCAAATAACTACACAATTAACAATCTCTGTCACTGGCAACCAGCCGTGGGATACTATTCGTTGGTTACCTGTAAAGTGTTCATGTTGGCGACATTTCTTTTGACCTGAAGTTCTCATAGTTCTTTGAGTGTTGCCAATTCAACTTCGTCTCCTAAATCATCTTCTCATCCTGCCTCCCTGAGAGCACTGAGAATGTCAGCCTGGTCTGTTTCTTTTACTACATTTGCCGTGGACATGATAGCAAGCCAATCAGCTTATTCATTCCTGTTTACCCCCTCCCCCGAGTTTCCCTGCACAAAAATTAAACAAATTCCTTTCAGATGAGATTTCCTCAGTGACTCCAACCATTATCTTTGAATCCCTACTGTTTCTATCTTATCTGACAAGCTCATGGAATCACTTAGAAAGCACACATGGGGTGCTGTGTCTCTAGCCACATTATTTGCTTTTGTTACTACCATCACCTCCAAAATCAGATTACTTGTAGTCAAGACAAAAAACCCACATGTCGAACGACAGATCCATCAGTGTAAACCTTTTTTTTTTTTTAAAAGACCTGGTCTGCCAGGTCAGCACAGGCGAAAATGGGTACCAGGAAATGTTCTAGGAAGTAAAAGCAGTTAATGAGACACTTATCACAGATCAAATGGCCATTGATCTATACAAAATATGTAACTGCAAACTCAATACAGGACAAAGGTCCTTTATCTTTCCCCACACCCAAATGATAGTGTCCACCACAGGATTACAAGGGTATCAACAACAGCCAGTAAAGGACCCTCTGCTGAATGTCGATCTCATCACCACATGCCAGAAAACCACTCAGCCCTCTGCCAAGTATCCCGCATGGTGCCTTTCATACCAAGGGTGTCCCTTTTCTCCTGTGACCTCTGTTGGGCTAGCCTATCACTGAAACATCTTTAAACATGAGAATGCACACCACTGTCATGCTGGCCTATCACTGAAACATCTTCAAACATGAGAATGCACACCACTGTCATGCTGGCCCATCACTGAAACATCTTTAAACATGAGAATGCACACCACTGTCATGCTGGCCCATCATTGAAACATCTTTAAACATGAGAATGCACACCACTGTCATGCTGGCCTATCACTGAAACATCTTCAAACATAGAAATGCACGTAATCTTTGAGTATCAGATGTGTCACGATTACCCAAACACTTTGGCTAGAAAGCCTTCATCAGCATATAATACAAACAGATTATACAATCACAAACAAGAATACACAAAGAGACAGCTTTTTAGCTAGATGTCACAGAACTGCTATCCAGGCTTGAACTGTTGAGATGGTGCGCCCCCCCCCCCCCCCCCCATATCTCCTTCTCACAAAGATCTGTGGAATCATTTGTGAAGGTGTCTGTGTTAGTTTAGTAATCTAGACATCACAGTACTACCAAAGCTAATGAATGATTGAATCAAGAATTCACATCACTGCACTCAGGTCATTCCCTCATGCGCTCCATGCCCTTCTTTAGTAGCCACCTCGGTGGTGAACCTCTAACACCCTCCCCCAAATTAGTCTTTCAATGTATGAATTCTCTACCTGTTCTATTGTGACAAAAGCTAACAGGAAAACCTTTCGCTGTGATTGATATGGTCGACTGTTTCTTATATTTAACACACATGCAAAACACACAGTAACTTACGGATCAATTTCTATCTTGATACAGTCCATTTTAGCATCTCTCTGTTTATTGTCAGCCGCATTCACTGAAATGTTTGTTGAAGAAAGAAAATATCTACATCAGTATAAAGATGATCATGAGGCTGACTGTATGTTGGTTGTTGCAAGACAGAATGTCAAATAAAAAACCTTCTTCACTTAGCATTTACAGGCTGTAAACTATGATGGAAAATATTGGTCGTTTGTTCACTTCTGAACTTTGGTCTTGTTTCAGATTTGCTTTTTTTTTGCATGCACATCAGTTTTACTGATTTGGTTTGTTTGCATGCAGACTGTTGGTTTCTGGTATATCTGGCAGTTGTACTCTGACTTTAGAGAAAACACGTCTAATTTGTCAGGGAATCGACATAGTGTAGCGGCTTGATGCTTGCCTGCGGATCAGAATGCTGTGGGTTTGGGTCCCTGCAAAGCAACGGTAGCCGACATGATGATGATCCCACCACCCACCAACTGCAGATTGGTCTACAGAATAAAGGTCTAGTCCTACACAACCATGAAGGTGTGGAAAAGGGTCCTTTACTTACTTCCCCTATTTGTCACCTTTTTGACACACTTGTTAGGGGGCAATGGGTTCACCAAAATAGGCTCCCAGAACCCACACTGTCACTGAATGATGAATATCAAATTTGGCTTTATGTGCCCCATTCTGGTGGGACGGGGGGAAATGGACCTACTACTCCCATCTTGCAGAACTGAAGTTCTAGAACAAGATCTCTATCCAGAAGTTGACAAACAAAACTATCCACAGGAGTTTACAGATGATATCATATATGCTTATGACTTTAAATAGTAGCTAACGGCCAGGACTTTGTATCAGCTCTAGTTTAAAAGTTACTTGCAAATTATTTACAGGCTGCTGCAAACCAACACCAGCAACTGATGTATGCTTGTGGCTTTACTAGGAAATTTACGCATTAATCAGCTTAACCCTGCTTTAAAAATTCAGCGCAAGGCAGTTTGCTGCCAAATTAGTCTGCAGCTGACTTCAACACATATGCCAGAATCAAGAAACTGCATTCACAACTATATGCAATAATAACAATAATAATAAAAAAACATCTCTATCAGAGATAATTCACAAGAAAGAAGGCTGCAGAGAGACATGATTACCAATGCCACATTGACATGGATTATAAGAAGAACTATGTGCTAAACAGCTTACCCATGATTTCATCAAAGATCTTGTAGAGACCTGGAACAAAGGTAATATCCTTCTGTACCATCTGATTCGCCTCAATATCCATCACCCACATTGACTGCCAATATGAAACAGCAGATATGTTAGTATTTTGCAGACAGCTACAGCCAATCAAAAAAAACTTCTATCATAGTACACATGAGTAATTCACAAGCTGTTTCAATTAACCCTAATTACTGGCATCATGGGAGTTGCGGCTAGACGCTTGCCTGCAGATCGGAACGTCGTGGGTTTAGGTTCAGACGAACAGACTTATTTTTTTTTATGACCTTGGCTCCCAGCCCTAAATAGTCCCGAGAAGTAAGGGCAGCAGGCATAATGCTTACTATATCACCCACCAAGTGCTGATAGGTCTATAAATAAAATACAAGTCTAGCCCTACAGGCACAATACAGCTAACGCTATTTTAATTTAGTGGCCTTATGAGGTCTAATAGAATGCAATGAACAGTTGGGCCATTTAAAGGATGGCAAATAACAGAGAGGCGAAAGTGGTGTACAGAAAAGAGTTAAATGTGAGTAGAACACAAGGTAGACCTATAAATACATCAAGTCACCAAGTGGAAAGAGAAGGTCAGACAGATAAAGGAAGGCAGATTATATCTGCAGCAATGGAACTTCTAGGGTTCGGAGTCCTGAAAAAGAACACATCAAAATACCCCTAAGGTTTACTGAGTCAATGGTGCCAGTCCTACTGTAGATGTATTTGAATGATGTAGTCAATATCCTAGCTAATTTCCTCACAAACAAAAATCCCACACAAGATGATTTGAACAGTTCATCTGGATAGCGAGCACGCTGCTACTGCAGTATCAAAGCTGTTAACATTTATTATGCAATGGAAATCAGTTTAACAATAAAGAAACAAAAATACAATACAGTCACTGATCTAAATATAGTGAAAGCCAAGCAATCATAGACCTATCTAGAATGGAAGCAATCATAACCATATTCAACCATAAGAAAGCAGACCAAAGGAGTCACCGACAGCTTAAGATATCACAGCAAACATAAGCAACTGAACATGCTGTAGTTCAGCAAACTATTATCAGTTTAAGGAGAGGCCTAGTGACACTAGGCAGATACTGACCACACACAAAAGATACCTGCTTACGGAAACGATCAGATAAATAGGCACAGATCTGAACAACTTTCTATAAATGGTAATTGCATAATAATACAGTCAATAGTGGTTATGTACGAATTACATATATTACCTGTGTAACAGTCTCTACAGAGCCAATGTACGTGTCTGGACGTAACAATATATGTTCGAGCTGAGTCTTCTTCTGATAGATTCTTTCCACAGACATTCTCTTGTTGTTGCCTCCACCTGCTGCATGTTCACCAACTGTTTTTTTTTTTTTTCAACAAACAGTACAGATTGAAAGAAAAATAAAATACTAAATTCAACGAAAATATGAATCATTATTTGAGAAAAGAATCATAGACAAATTACACACATGTGTATATATATATGGGAACTGAGCGGTCTATACATTCAGCCAAACAAAAACATACGCTCAATATTCTTTAACAACAAAATTGCAATAGAGAATTATTGCAAATACCTTTTAATTATACATTAACCACTGTATTTATTATTGCTTTAACAATGTGAGAGAGACCTACATAAATATGAAAAAATTTAAAAAGAAATTTATATTTAGCAAGAAATAACAACGGCTTTCGTCGCCTCCCTTTATGGCATCAGGTGATGTCACTTCTGATGACTGATGATGATTCATCAACATGTCTAGGAGATTCACCTGTACTCCTTTTTTTTTAAAAAGACATCCAATGTTTTTTATTTTGCTGTCTAAACATGTCATCAAATGAATTGAAACGATGATTAACTTTAGTCATGTCTGGGTGTCATTTCTCGATGAAAACCTGCAATTGTTGCCAATTAACTATAGTGATGTCTGGGTGTCATTTCTCGATGAAAACCGGCATTTTTTTATGATTAATTACTGGGTGTCATTTCTCGGAAAACCTGCATTTTTTAAGGTTAATTACAGTGATGTCAGGGTGTCATTTCTCGATGAAAACCTGCAATTGTTGCCAATTAACTATAGTGATGTCTGGGTGTCATTTCTCGATGAAAACCTGCATTTTTTTATGATTAATTACTGGGTGTCATTTCTCGGTAAAAACCTGCACTTTTTAAGGTTAATTACAGTGATGTCAGGGTGTCATTTCTCGATGAAAACCTGCAATTGTTGCCAATTAACTATAGTGATGTCTGGGTGTCATTTCTCGATGAAAACCAGCATTTTTTATGATTAATTACTGGGTGTCATTTCTCGGTAAAAACCTACATTTTTTAAGGTTAATTACAGTAATGTCTGAGTGTCATTTCTTGATGAAAACCTGCAATTGTTGCCAATTAACTATAGTGATGTCTGGGTGTCATTTCTCGATGAAAACCAGCATTTTTTTATGATTAATTACTGGGTGTCATTTCTCAGTAAAAACCTGCATTTTTTAAGGTTAATTACAGTAATGTATGGGTGTCATTTCTTGGTGAGAACCTGCATTTTTTACCGATTAAATATAGAGATGTCTGGGTGTCATTTCTCTATGAAAACCTGCAATTATTGCCGATCAACAATAGGGATTTTTGCCAAGTGGACAGACATTCCGTAACTGCAGCACTTGGAACCCGGCCCACATCATTATCTTGTTTCTCATCTGGTGATTCACTGCCCATGTCGGAGGATGGACAAATATTGACTTTTCAGACAAATATCAAACAAACATTTTTACAGAGGAAAAAATACACATTTAAAAACAGACAAATGTTGCAGTTCCACTGCACTAAAATAATTAGTTGAAATTACTCCTCATTACCAGCAAAGATCCATGTAACTTAGACAATATGGTAGCAAAGCTAGAGATCAGTCAGAGAAAAACTACACTGAAGTTGACCTACCTGAATCAAGTGTGCCATCTAGCTCAGCATTATCTGCAGCACCAGATGCTTTCATTGCTTTTTGTTTAGCAGGAAAATGTGAATCCATTTTTGTTTGGGCATTCTCAAAGAGTGTCTGGGGAAGAGCACATTTATGCATCTCATCATTAGAACCCATGTAAAGACATAGATTAACAAGAAAAATATACTGAACTAAGGGGACCTAATGGAGCAATGATGTGCAATACATGACTCTTAATTTCTATTAGCACATCTTGTTTAAGCCTACCTCACCGTGGTGGACCCTGTTCTTCCCAGCAATCCAGTTGAAGGTTGGGGTCTCAACCCCCAGCAGGAAACTGGATGGGACAACAAACGAGGTAAAGGCGAAAGGATGAGCCTACTCTCCTCAAGTATGATCAGTCTACCCTAGCAAAACAAGGTGCTGAAGTCGGAGGCAACCAGCCAGGAGGCTGGAACCTGCACCACAGCAATCAGGATGCCGCGCACACACGCCATTAAAAAAAATGCAAGAAAAAGATACTGAACTAAAACAAATCATACTGTCTATATACAGTTTCCAATTGGGCATTTTCTTTACAATGCATTCTTTATATTCTAGATCCACTGATCAAGATCCTAGTCAGTAAAAATAAGGTGACAAAAGACACGATAATCCAAAATTGAATATCTATTCTAATTTCAAATTATGGTTGTTTTCCTTCCTAAAAAATTCAGCACATCTTCTTATGCCTTTAAACGGGTTGCTGATCTGCGAAGTTGTGGTTTACTGTAACAAGGCTGTGATATGTGTGCCTTTCAGACGACCACATTTAATTTAAGCAAAGAATTATTAATTAGTCTCCTTTGACAGCATGTTTGCTAGTGGGCACTGGATCTATCTACCCCCCCCCCCCCCCACACACACACAAGAAAACAGAGAGAATTCTCTTTCCCATCGTGATTTTTACTGAGGTGGTTATCTCAAAATGTTTGTGCAATTTTTTTTTAACTGCTTGACCCCAAAAGACCAATGGGAAGCGTTAATAGTTACCAAGAGGAAATGTAGCCAATGGTGTGTGTTTTTTTTTTTTTTTGCTAACTGAAAATTTATTCATCGGGGTGCATAGAAAACATGGAGTTGTGACCTATTTTAATGAAACATGGCTTAGAAGAACTGCTTAACTAGCAGCACATTAGACAAGTAAAATAGGCTGGACCTAAAACTCCAAGGAAAGGAACTGACAGAATTAATTTTAAGATAACCTCTTGGAATGTATTTGCAAACTTCAGAACTGGCAAATAAAAGTAAATTAGGAAACACTGCCAGGGCTGTCACCAGTCGCTGGGGTGGACAAATTGGAAGGTGAAAAAAAAAAGAGCAATTTGAAAGAAGAGATAACTGGCCATATAGATCCTCTTGAAAATTAACATCAGTATTATTTTCCTAAGCTAAAAAAAAAAAGGTGAGCTCGAACAAAATATTTTTTGCTTCCATTGAGGTCACCAGCATCCCCCCTGGAATTACAAAATGAAGTCATAGATCTGAGAACGATTCCTCCTTAAGCAAACTATCTGATGAAAACCCAAAGACTCAGTTTCGGTGTGCTATGTATCGGTTATAAACAAACGACGTTATACCTACGTTTCCAGTTTTACCCCCTTTATATTTACATTTCTCTATGAGAGTGGATTTGATGCTTCTTCAATAAAAAAAAACCAGATTAAATACTTAGAATGACATGAAGTTGACATTAAGGAGAACTTAATAGTACGGTGTATGCTTGTTAATTTCAACGATCATGTTAAATATGTCATAAGTTAACATTATTTTGATTAGTTATTACTGGAAAATCTATTTCGATGTATTTTCATTTACCCCCTATTCAAAAAAGCCTACTATAATATATGAGGCCAAAGGTCTATATGCCTTTATTAAATGGGGTTATGGCTCAAAAGGAGTTGGAAACCAAAGCCTTAGGAAAACAATTATTCCAAACTGTTTATGGGGTGTAGCATCTAGACCAGGACTATACCTGGTGGTTTCCAGATACAATCTGGCCGCAGAGACCTAGCTATTGGCCCGCGGATCATTGCCAGTCCTACTGTATTAAGGATCTTTTTATTATGAAACTCTGGCCTTAGGCCCGTGACTATTCCCGTTTTTTGAAAATGTGGTCCCTGAGTAAATTTAGCTGAATAGCCCTCGTCTAGACATCCACCTGCAGACCTGAATGACGTAGGTTTACATACGCAAAGGATATAGCCTTTTTTTTATGAACTTGGCCTCCAGGTTAACAGCCTTTAAGACTGAGTCTCACATGGGTGCCAAGTTAATTCCTGGAAAGTAAAGGTGACAGTCTTACCTCTTACATGGGTGCCAAGTAAATTCCTGGAAAGCAAAGATGATAGCATGACATGATGCTGACCATATCACCCACACGGTTCCAATGGTCTATAAAATATAGGGCTAGCACTACATGATATGCCTTATACACCTGAAAGCGTGGAAAAAGGCTTAATATCATCATCAAGTTCTCATTATGCCTAGTGGCACATGAGGCTTCAGAGAGTACTTTCCATGCTTTCCTGTCCTGTGCAATCTTCAGTGCAGTTTTCCATGTCGAAGATGCCACACTCAGGTCACTTTTCATCATTCGTTTCCATGTTGTTTTTGGGCGCCCCCTCTCCCTTTTTTTTTTACTTAGCTAAAAAAAATACAGATGAGAATTATTGATAGAATAATATATGTGGAAGGTACAGAGTGGGTGTCGGTGTCTGTGGCTTAGGCGATGCGAATGCACTTCGTAATGCCGGGTTCAATCCAAGCTGAGAGCCTTGCACCGGTTTTGACAGTAGTTATCGAGAAGCCAAATGTCCATAAATCAATATTGGACGTAAATATGCCTAAAAAACCACAACAACCAAAAAATTATGGAGTTGGTTCTGCAAAGGATACACAATTAACTAACTTTTTAACAGAGTTGGTTGTCTTTTCTGTTCAATAACGAACTGTTTCAATTTCATTTCATATCACGAAAATTCTACCAGCATAAACATTTTTCAATTGTTTTTGTCCCAGGTGGTAAGCTGCTTCTTCAATACTTCCCGCCCTGAAGTGTATGACTATGTATGCACTTTTGAGTAACCATGCAGTCCTAAAACTAAAAGTTAAAAGCCAGAATTAGCTACTACGGTAAATAAGGACTAAATTACTAAAATAGGTGAATACTGAATTTAAATTTTAAAATGAACACTCACTCAGTGATTCTAGCGACTACGTTGTTCGACAATTTGTGGTCGTTCGAAACTTGTTTTGGAAATGTCGGCTGGGGTTTCGGGATGGGTCCCAAATCTCTCATGAAATTTTGCGATTGGTGTGATTTTCACCCACTATAAATGGCTAAAAACAGGGGGAACGAACCCGATTAACAGGGCATGTCTACGATAGCTGGATGCCCTCTGTTTTTTTGTTACATCAGTTTGATTAAAAATAGCGTTAAGTATTCGAGGTTGGCTTTAGGCTTTAACATTACTCGTACTGGTAATGCTAGTTATAATTGAATTCTACGTCCAATTTTACATCTGTAAATAAAATTTCTTTCTTATGAGTGGCTTTTAAATATACAGTGACATTTTTAGGCAATCGGTATGTGGCTGTCTCTCCATTGTCTGCCATCTTGTCCAATGACAGTCCAATGTCAACAAAGCCAAAACAGAAGTGCGCAGTTTGGTTGCGCAGAGAGAAACTTCTTGTTTCTGGGTCGCAAGTTTTCAACAGCTGTTAGCTGTTTTTTACATATCTCCACAAAAACCTTTTTATCTTAGCTCAGAAATGACATACAAGCCTAAATGAGGTACCATTGGAAAGAGATTGTTTACAGCCATCTAACTGTGCTGGTTTTATTGGTGTAGAAGGCATTTTGAAAATTTGACTAAAGTACCTAAATGATTCAATCACTGATTTTTATTTCCACCATCATAACTTAAAGTACAATTATTAATTATTACAATTTTAAAAAAATTAACAAACCTTTAATGGCTCGTGACTCATGATGAAATATGTAGCGTAGTAATATATTAACTAAAGAGCCAGAAACACATCTGGCAGACACAGGTTGATCTGATTTAGATTTAGTTACGTTAACCGTTAACGTTTGATTCAGATTTGAAACTCAGAAACTGAAACGGATAACTATTTTTCCTGGACAAATTATCATAAATAAAACTAAAACCACCAAAATTATTTCACTAACTGAATTCGTAAAATGTTAAGACAATGACGTGAATCAGCACATGTTTACAGTTCGAAAAAAAAACAACAATAAGATGCAACTAATTCATCAAAAGTCAACCGAGATCCCGTTTGCCGTTTGAAAACAAAATCTTGTTTGAAAAAATCCGCCCGCCAAGCAAGACTTGACCAACCCACGTGACCTACTTCAGTTTTTGCTTTCTCCAAATTCTTTTTTAACAAACACATCACGAACAATTCTTCTCTTACCTTCCATTTCAGTTCCGAGCTGCCGGTAGACATTTTTGGAATAAACGTCAGTAAATTTGCAGACTTGGTACTTTTTTTAAAAATATTCAACAGTTTTGTATTTTATAAAACAAAAAAAGAGTAGCGAACGTTTACGTTTATTACAGAAAAGCACTTAAACAGTGAAATTAATTTTGGACGAAGGAATACTGTTGGTAATTTTCACTATATTTCCTCCGTATTTCCCAACAGTGTATTTTTCCAATTGTAATAAACACGGTAAATCACATAAGATGTGAAGTAAATTGTCAAAATTCAGAAACTCCTAGAGAAAATGAAGCAATCCTATTTTATTCGCATGTGGACAGCGGCGATTTCTTTCTCTGTCTGATCGGCGCCATTACATTTTGCTGTTATTGAAGCTGGTGTTTCATTGGTCACACACAGTTGGATCCAGCCAATCAAACTGACCATTTCAAAAGTTTGTTGTTTCTTTCTTTTAACGTCCGGAGAGTTGGTAACAGATATTCATTATAAGTTCTTTTTCTTCTACTTCTTCATTTAGAGCCTTTGAGGTTTATTGCTACATAAATCACCCGCCTCCATTCATTTCTATGAGCGCTCTTCTCTTTCTAGTTGGTGCCAATTAAATTCATCCGAAATCGAGACTTACATATCTGTTTCGTGACGAAATAAAGACATCATGGGTTCATTTAATCATCTTCGTATTCACTGGCTGTAGACTCCGGCGGAAAGTTCTGGTTCTTCATCCACTTCTGAAGTTTGATTTTGTTCCAGAACTTGAGTGTTGCGTACACATTTGTTTTACAGATCTAGCTTATCTGTATGCATACTGTTAGTTCCTTGCCTCTCAGGCTTACCACTTCGAAAGAAACGTCCATCCTAATGCTGCCTATGTTCGCCAGGAACTTGTTCTCTTCCTCTTATACGCCCCTCCTTACCTGATCCAACCTTATTCGATATTAACACATTCTTACACATGTTATGTCATCGAAGCTTATGTCTTCTATCAGCATGTATTCATAAATGGTCTTCAGAATGTCTCCTCCGGTACGAGGAGCGTGCCTGAAACTATCGCTTTTGTAGCTATAAAATGCACTGTCTCATTCCATCGCACTCTTGCATTTCCCGGTACACCACTCTCTAAATTCTTTTCCTAATGTGAAAATTACCTGATGGAAACCGCTGTTGTTTGATTCCAGTCGACCCATTCCTGCCCCCTGTGTATTTCTCGACTGAGGCAACTAGCCGGCTTGTATCTTCAGCTAGTGTCATCCATGACTTTCCTCTTTTCAATCGGTCTCTTCTAAAATCTTTAGGACTGCCATGCAGAGAATGTCTATCATCATTGGTAACTCTCATGTAGGCCTTGGGTTAAGCCAGTGATAGTCTAGACTCTAGACTTTACTGATATCAGGCTAAACACAAACCGCATTGTTATCATTAATCTTGTGTGCACCCTAAAGCAATTCTCATTCCTCCATTTTGAATCTGTTCAAATGTTGCACTCTGTGAAGGAATCGGGTTAATATCGCTAGGTCATTATCAATTACCGAAGGACCCGATGGTTGAATAATTATTATTCTCCTTTCGTTCGCCTGAAATAAGTTGTCTCTTTCAGTAATTTTGTCTCTCGTATAAATTTCTCTGGCGTTTTTAGTTCATTCAGCTGCCCGTAGAGTTAACGTTCCATTATTGTTCTTTCTGGTGAAAAACGTTTGCATTATTGTGTCATATTCATTACAGTCCTGGGGTACATGTCCTGCTGTCTGGGGCGACTTTCCGCAAGTGCACATCCCTGATACACCTATCTTGAATCGTGTGTATGAATAATCAAATCAATCAGAAAGCCACCAAAACCAGCACAAGACGATTATCTTTTTATGGACAGGCCAGAGCAAGTTATTCCTTAGAACAGGACACTATCGACTTCGCAGCCACTTGTACACAAAATTTAAAATCGGCGAATCAGACATGTGCACATGTGGACTGGCACCTGAGACAACAGATCATGTCCCCTAAGACTGTCCCAAGTACAACATATCAAGGCAAAACTTTTGGCCAAAAGAAACATCGGTGCAAGTGAAACTTTACGGGCCGCTGAGTGAATTACAAAAGACGGTGAAGTTCATACTAGAGACAACATTGCAGATATAGATAATCTATTTTAAGCGAACGAAAGAAGAAGAAGAAGAATCGTATGTACATGTTGTTATGTTGTGCCCTATTCTGAGGTGAAGGATAATGACTTGTTCTGATTTGTCCATAACAGAATATCCGCTTGTGCGGGGCTGGTGGTTTCCTGGTCGATTTAATTATCCTCTTCTTTAAAATGTATGAAATGGTACCTCTGGCTGCTCTTTTGTCGAACCTTGCCCTGCCAATTGATTAATTTTCTTATTTCCAGGCTCTCCACAATGGAACGTCACCCACTGCATTGCGACTCTTGGCTGACAGCTGAGTTGTGTCTGCAGTATTTGCTGTATAGACTCGGACCTATTATTCTTGTATGTATTCTTCATCGATATAGCCGAGGGTGGCTATTCTGCGTTGTATACTATCTTGCTCTTTTTTTTTTTGATGGGGGGAGGAAGGGGGGGGGGGGTCAAATATTCCTCTCAAATTTGTCTGGAATTGGACTGCTAGTTTTCATTGATCTCTCCACGGGGTTTGTTCTGAAATACTTTGAAACTTATAACCAATTTCAGGAAGATCAGTAGTTCACCTGCATATTCGTTTTGTTTGGTGTTTAAAGCTGCTTTTTTTTTTTTTTTACCTATCCTAGTGCTGGGTTATGAAATATATTTGTATGGGGTGATCTAGCATACTAAGATACTTCTTCTTCTTCTTCTTTCGTTCGCCTGAAATAAGTTGTCTATATCAGCAGTTTTGTCTCTTGTATAAATTTCACTGTGGTTGTTAGTTCATTCAGTGGTTACGCAATCGGTTGTGCCCTGTTCTGAGGCGGAGGATAATGACTTGTTCTGGTCTGTCCATAATAAAATAGTCGTCTTCTGCTGGGGCTGGTTGTTTCCTGATCGATTTAATTATTCTTTTCTTTTGGTGGTATGTGACTGGTACATCCGGCTGCTCTTTTGTTGCACCTTCCCCTGTCAGTTGATCAGCTTTCTCATTTCCAGGCACTCCACAATGAGACGGTATCCACTGCATTACGACTCTTCGCTGAAGGCTGAGTTGTGTCAACAGTGTTTGCAATTTTGGTAGTTTCCTAGACTGAAGTGCTTCAAGTACTGATTTAGCATCTGTCAGCATTACCACTGCAAATGTCATAGTTCGCCATGACCCAGCGGGTTATACAAGGTCCGACAATTAGGTAATGAGACTAATTACATAAAAATTAAAATAATTAACATTTGAAGATAAAACCTGTATCTGATTCAGAATAAGCCCCTTGTGCAGCGATACAGCAAGTGGCACGATCTAACAAACACGGGAACGACCTATGTAGTTCTTCTGATCTCATGGCCCTTAAAGTGGATGTTACGGCCCTTTGGATGTCATCAATATCGTTAAAGAAGCGTCCTTTCAATCGTAACTCTAAATTTGGGGATATAAAATAATCACAGGGAGACCAATCTGGGCAATAGGGTGAAAGGCTGTGAACACACTATTGTTTTAGGGCCAGCAATTTTTGTTTTGATAATGTCTCTTGGGCACTCAACCTGCGGATGTTTTTGGTCATCAGACAACGAATGTGGTACAAAACCGGCAAACTATTTTTTTCTTTCCAAAATCTTGCACACAAATGTTATGAATGGTCTCTCTATTAACACCAGATTCATCTGCCATTATCCTCACAGTAAAACAATGATCTTCTTGTATCCGTTCTCTGACTTTTGCAATGAGTTCATCATTACGATCAGAATTTGGCGTCCAGGTCTAGTAATTATTTTCACACCACTTTTGAATCGTGAATACCACCGGAAAATTTTTGCACGAGATAAACAGTTATCCCCATAAACTTGTTGCACTAATTTAACTGTTTCATTGGCGCTTTTTAAGAGTTTTAAAAAGAATTTAATGTTAGCTTTTTGCTCCGCGCTGATTACGTATCAAAGCATCTCTGATTAGGTCAACAAAATAGCGGCTCGTTTGTTGTCTGCTTATCGAGCGGCGATAAAAAGTTGCTAGATCATAGATTAATGTTGCCTCTTTAGATTCCATGCTTTGTTTCATAGATGGCATTTTTATCTTGACCATAATAAAATCAGTCTCAGTACTTGATTGTCGGGCCTTGTATTTTGCCAGACTTGCTGTACATATGTTGAACAAGACAGGTGACAATGGTGAACCCTGAGGAAGGCCAGGGAAAATAATTGTTGATCTTCATGTTCCCAAACAAAACTATAAATGTTCTCTCTAACAGTGCTGCCTCCATCCAGTTAACCAGCCAGGGGTACACGCTGCAGATAGTCCTAGATAAACTTCATAGATATTAAAAACTCTTTCCGCAAGGGGTTACAACATTAGGTAGGTCATGGTTATACCCGACTAGTGTTGGCACTATTACGGAGGACTTATTTATAACAGTGGCTATTTGGGGGTTGAACGAGGTATCAGGGATTCACATGTTGGTCTGCTACCAGCAAGGAGGTTCTGAGGCACAAATGGGTCATTACAGTCTGAGGAGAATGGCGCTGCGAGGAGTTATCATGGTATCTGGCAGACGCTCAACACTCAGGGGAAGAGCGAGAAGGATATACAATCTGACATCGGAATGATGGCATCGGAATTTGAACTCTTCACTTGCTGCTGAAGATGGGGATGGAGCGCTTTTGGGAGTGTCCCGAGTGCTGTGTTTTCAATTCTTAATTCAACATCCAGCCAGGATAAGACCCAACAGCCTCAAGTAGAATCCCGAAATACAAACAGATGTTCAATTAAATGCAAACAACATTAACTGTCCTAGTGCGATTAAACCCACTGATATAAACAGAAGCTTACTTCGTAGCCTTTATATATATATATATATATATATATATATATATATATATATATATATATATATATAT